AATTATATGTCAATAATTCAATTTCGCAAAAAGAGAAATTCCAAAAGGTTGGACAGACAGCACTTCACCATGTCACGTACAAGCTTAGGATGGAAACCATGCCACTTAACTCAATGACAAATCTTATGATCTAAAGCGCATGTGTTAGACCACTTTTGACTTACCAAGGGACAATAGTACCTTCCTGAATTATGGCCCCTGATTCTACGAAGAATCACGTTTTTAGCTTGTGGTCAGGTCACAATTATTATCCGATTTAAATAAGTATATCACCGTTACACTGTAATGTCGATTAAGTTCGAATTTCGTGAAAATCGGAACAAAACTATCGGACAAAATGGCCGCCCTTATACAAATAGTGAACCCTCTAGAGGTCACAATTTTGATCTGATTTTGATGAAACTTGAATTACATGTTTTTAAAATACAGATGTGACGTCATCCTTTGATGTTGGCGTACCATTATTTCCAATAATGTACGGGCAACTTGCCAATCGTACATTATCTATACTAGATGATTTATTGGACTCGCGTGACGTATTTCATTGAAAAGCACGTGCAGTATAGTGTCTGTATTTTAAGTTGTTTAATGGTCTCGAGCTAAAGACATTGCGTAATTTATTGAAACAACACTCGGCTAATGCCTTGTGCAGTATCAATATATTACTTAATGTCTCGATCTCGATCATTAAACCATACATAACTCAAAGGGCGTGGTTCTTTTCGATCATCGCGCATTTTCAAACCTAACTTCCTGAATTATGGCCCCTGATTTTTCGAAAAATCGCATTTTTAGTTTGTGGACCCGCTAGAAGTCACAATTTGTATCTAATACCATGTAATACCAAGGTTGTGGACACTCTATAGAAGTCAAAATTTTTACCCGATTTTGATGAAACTTGAAATGTATGTTTATAATCCAAAGATCTTTGGATTGGTCAATATTTTGGAACACAACAACTTTGCTTTTAATTGAGGTAGAATGTTTAAACTTGATGTTGAATTTCATTAGGTGAGTGTATTGACTGAGTTCAATGATTAACATTTCCTGCTAAAGCTAGGCACTAAGCAATTTCTCTGACTTTGATTCTATCTGGTAGAGAGTGTTGAAACTTAGTGTATAGTTGATGATCAGTTTGATTGCTCAATACTTTTACAAAAGATAAACGTGCAATTAATTAATATGTGTCATCTATTTATTTCGGGATTTCGCCGGGGGACATCAGACTCACTGTTGGATTGTTTAGCTTGTTCTCTATCCATCTGTTGCACAATGTGGGCGTATCTTGCCTGGCAACCGGGGGGGTTGGATGGCCGAATGCTTAGCACGTGCGTGCTGTATCACAAGGCCTGTCATTGGGTCAACTGGCGTGGTTTCGAATCCCTTGTTGTACGTGACAATGAGTAGGGTCGCCTGTCCAACCTCGTGGGTTTTCTCCGGGTCCTTCGGTTTCCTCCCACTGCTAAAGACCCCTATGCGCAAGCGAATTATTGAAATAAAATTAAACCATGTTAGTCCCGAAATGACCTAGTGGACGTTAAACCCCATCTCTCTCTCTCTCTCTCTCTCTCTCTCTCGTTTTGCCTGGCAACCGCTGGTTTTTAAACATTTGGAAGTTTGCATGGAGAGAGGGGATCACGGTAGCTTAGTGGGTAAGGCGTTGGCTCGCTAGCATAGAGGTCGGGTGTTCGATCCCTGCATTGGCCGAGAAAGTCCATCCCGATTTTCCGGTGTGGTTCCCCCTTGTCAGGGATGCAGGACGGAGGGCCTGACAAGGACAGCTGTCTAGTCATTCGGATGAGACGAAAAACCGAGGTCCCGTGTACACATTGGCGTGCACGTAAAAGATCCCTTGACAGTTGGAATTCGATATAAGAGTAGGCCGTAGTGCCGCTGTCCGGGCAAAATTTCCCTCATAGCGCACTATATGGCGTATGCCCGTCTTCATTAGCCCAGTTCGGAGCAAAACAGTAGGACGTTAAACCCCATTTCATTTCATTTGCATGGAGAGACATTGGAAATCAGGAGACTATATATGTATATTCCATATTAAAAGAAACCCTGGAAGAAGATGACATAGGCCAAAACAGCTCTATGACCTTTCTCCTGGATCCCAACACTAAGAACACGGGACGGCAGGTCAGAAAGCATTTGCACTCGAACATTGGAATTCTTCTCGAACGTAGGTATAGGCCTATGTAATTTGACATGTGCTGTCAGCAATATCCTAAATTTCTGGAGTGCCATAAATCCTGTTGTGACCTATGCCATCTTCCCGGCTTCAATATGGAAAGCGTGATGGTCTTCTGAACATGGGCAGCGCCTGCCGTCTGACATTAAATGTCTTTCCATGTACACTTCTAAATGTTTCTTCTCGTGGTTCTTCTTTACATGAGCATGTGGACAATAGATATATCAAGTTTATGATAGTCATGTTATTCAATAAATCTAGATTATTATCGGCTTCTACATACAGATCTTAATAAACGTGATCTGGTCAATGCAAAGTCGTACACGGTACACGACTTATTACCATTACCTTCAGCTACCAAACAGTGTGAAGTCTGAGTTTGTCACAAAACTGTTATGATTGTAAACCAAAATGACTTATTTGGCATTGGGCGCAACTAAACATATAGTAGTAATGGGGATGATCAGTGGTCATTTAAAAATAATCGTTGGTCATTGGTGAAAAGGCGCTGCTTTGGTTAGATTGTGCTGATATCAAAGCTTGCCATACCAACCCATACATTTACACACTTCCCTGCTACTAACTATATTTAATACAGATGAGAATAATCATGGCCTGATCCTGCAAAATTATACACCAGTTACGCCCCTTCCCTACGATGACCGTCAACGTCCGATTTTGTCACAAAAACTCTATGAACTTTAACCAAAATAACATATTAGGCACGGGGAACGTTCAAATAACAAAATATGGTGCTAAATTGATAATCGACGGTCATTTGAACTCTAGAAGATAATTATCGGTCATTAGTGAATCCCGTTTAAAATATCGTTTTTTAAACATTTTCACGGTATATAATGCAGCACTCTAGTGGGTTGAGTTCCGGTCAGTTTTTTTCTTCGGACAATTTTTGGGTGGAATGTCCTCAACAACAACACCAAGCAATTATATGTCAGACCTGTAAAGAAGAAGCTACACACGTTTTATGAAGGCAGGGTTTTAAACATATGTAAAATGACCACGTTAAGATAACCCACAGAAAATTCCACGTGCACGATTCAATCATTCCAAATCGAATGCAAGATTTTATGTCGACCACAGGCTTATCAAACCTGATCAATATTAAAAATTTAGGCTCACAACATTTCGAGTAGAAGCGTTTCTAGATTAGGGTGAAAAATTGGTCGAAATACGACAAATTTTGCCTTAAACAAGATTTTCCGGTTATACCGAAAGTTTTCATTTCAAAATCAATTTTTGTTATTATATGCGTTGCGACCCATTTGTGTCCATTTCTAGGTGCCAGTTTATAACAATTTAGCTCTTTTTAAAATCTATCTCGTCCTTCAATTTGTATCCCACTTTCAATATCTTCATATTTTTAAAAACCATTCACTATTAGCAAACTATCGAAAACTGAGATTAAAATTTTGATATTTGATCAAGATTATTTTTAAAAATGACGTCATAAATTTAATTGTTTTGGAAAGTGTAAAACTTTGAAATCAGGTACAAATGTAATGCTAAACGATTAATTAAGTCATTTGGTGCTTATTCTGAAAGTTTTGTCAAAATCGGGTTTTTAACAAAGTTTCTGTACACCTATACAACAAAAAACAGCAAATTTTGCCCGGCTGAAATACCTTTCCATATATACCATAGCAACTTTTTGACGGATTTTAATAATTCTTTTTTCTTTAAGATTCTTGAAAAGAAACCAGGTCAACAATACAAATTAATCTACTACATGTTGTGATTAATGTATGAGTGTGATTATAAAAACTATTAAAGTTGTTTCGATGAAAACTCTAGTTATTTTTAGAGTCATTACCCTTGATGAATTTATGGATGCTTAATCAAGCTTCCGATTGAAATTTACTCATGGTTATGACATGAAGTTGTGGTGCATTTTGTTATCTGAAAACCTATCTTTGGCTTAAACTGTCAGACTTGTGAACGCGAAATTGGCTATTTCGTAACATATGTGGACCATAGGTAGACAAATATTAGATAACAAACCTTAATCTCTCAACACATCAGTATATCTCAGCGTTTTTAGTTATGTTCTCGTAGCTAGGCAAATTTGTGCTTTGCAAAAAAATTGAACACCTTTTATCTTTTACCTAAATGTAAGGGGGCGTCTCATTTTAATAATAACCAAATCAGACTTTATTTATTATATTACATCAGCCTTATCAATCTGTTGAAATTTATCCATCAAACAGTACAAAATTCGGTCACAAAAATTTAAGATTAATAATAATAATTTTCAAATGTTATCCCAATAGAGGTCTAATAAAAGTAGATACAAGAAGAAATTAAGGAATAGTATTAGTATCAGTATTTAAAAAAAAAAAAAAAAAAAAATGAAAAGAAGATTTAATTTGCCAGACTCTAACTTTCTAAGTCGGTAAATTCCAAGATAAATCCGATTAGCGTCAATGATATCTCAATCAAGCATGGATCTAATCAAGTATAACAAGGAAAACCGCCGATAAACCAAGCTATAACGGGGTCGTTTACACGTAACCATGCAACCATACTAGATCTACAAGTCTGTTATTGATTCGAACATCCAGGCAAGCAAATATTAATTAAAATATCTTTGCAATATATTTATCAAATCTATTTAAAATATAAATTATTTTATCTTTATTTTAATCTATAACTAAAATTGCGAAGTGTTTTATGCATTATTCCAAACTAACCTCATTTATAACGGTAAAATTACCCGTTTGATCCTAGTCCCGTTTTGGATTCAACCGTTACGTTTTTGTTCGAGACTAGCATGCTTTTGTGTAAATGTTTACACTTTTGGCTGTTAATGATCAAGGGAAGAGTAAATTAGATTTATATTATGGACTTTCAGATTGTAATGGGATAGATACATTATGAGGTAAAGATACGTTTGATCGTAGAGGAATAGAGATCTGTGTGAGAAGAGGATAATATTAGAAGATAACGGTTTTTAAGGTGATTTGGTTAAATAACTAGATTTCGGCCGGGCAATTTAATAATTATTTATTTATGCATTTGTTCAATGATCATATCATGTTAAAAGTTTACCGGTACTAAAGTGCACAACATTGAAAGTACGAATTCATTCGTCGATCGTGTACTTTTATCTTTTAGATCGCCCTGTCCCTTTCATCAATTAGTTAATATTTTCCATTGGATATATTGTATGACTGTGCATTATAAATATGAAATACTATATATATAGCCAAGACACTCATCAGTAGATATATCGTGTTGAATTTCAAGGTATAATACATGCATTATTTATTTATTACGCTGAAGATATAGTATTTCCTATTCATTATATAAAATTAATATTATTTTATGTATATAATAGATGGAAATAATAACCTTGGTTTTGATTTAAACACAGACATTGTGGAGCCAAGCAAAAAACACTTAAGAGCGAGGGTATTTGTTTCAATTCATTTATTTATAAATTGGAAACCCTTTATAAATTGAACAGGCGACTCTACTCTTGTCACGTAAGATGCCAGTTGACTCAATGACAAACCTTATGATACAATGAGCACATGCTAACCATTCGGCCATCAAGGCCCCCTTTATAATAAAAGATTGGAAGCTTTGGGAACTTCCCAAATATGTGAAATATGAGTGGTATTATGTATCTATAGATTCACCACATTTTGCATATAACTTATATTTCCTTGTAATGTACAATTACTGATATACATTGACATATTATATAAAATAACTCATGATTTATCAAATAACTGATAGTTTGATTACATATACCTCAATATACAGTAATCAAAATGAAATGGGGTTTTACAACCTAATTTTAAGCACCAACAGAGCCATAATTATGGTGACAGGCATATAGACTATAAATTATTATTTGGTTAATATACAATAACTCATAGTTTATCATTTATCTTACACAGTCAATATACAATAATTCAAAGTTTATAATTTATATTGCATGGTATCAGTACTTAGTATACAATAGCTCATAGTTTATATCTTATATTACATGGTCCATCTACAATAATTACACTACGTGGTCAGTTTACAATAACTTATAGTTTGAATATAACATGGTCCATATAAAATAACTTATAGTTTATAACTTATATAACATGGTCCATATAAAATAACTTATAGTTTATAACTTATATTACATGGTCCATATACATTAACTATAATATATAGTTTTTATCTTGTATTTCATTATCCATTAGATAAAAAACCTCATCTCTCAGTTCTCTGTGTTTTGAGATAATAGATGGTGCTACATGTATATAGTTCCACATAGCAAAGCCCAATGCAAATCACATCGGGCCTCAGTATGCAAAATTGACAATATTTTTCATGAAAACAAAGATTGATTATTGTTATTTATAGTATTTCTGCCACATCCAACTACAATTAAGCATAATCCTACCTGAAACAGGTATAAATCATTGTATTTAAAATCGAGGCGTTAAGCCGCTACTAGGAATGCCATTTTTAAACGGGAGATATGTATGACAATGTATGTCGGATAAAAACAACGCTTCATTAATTTAAACGTGATATTTGGAGTTAGGCGATAATAGAATAAAGTTATCCTATTTTTAAGATGTTACATGCATTAATAAAGAAATTGAGTTTGTCACTTGGAACTGAAGGCACCCAGTCTATCTAAAAACAAGCACATCAGTATATCTCAATGTTTTTAGCTGCGTTCTTGTAGCTAATTGTCCATATACAATAACCTAATTTTTGTAACCTATAGTGTATATCTTATATTGCGTCCATCAACAATAAACTATAGTGTAAAACAGTGATTCGCAACCAGTGTGTGCCACAGGTGTGCCACAAGATCTTTCTAAGTGTGCTGCAAAATTTTAAACGGCACACCCAAAAAATTCTTACTAAAGAAGTCATCTATTTGACTGATGAAATTCAAACACCGTGCTAAAGTAACTTCATAGCCGTGTTTTTCTTTATTTAGTTTGGGTCATTCTATGTGTCTATGACTAGTCTTTGTCTACGGCTGTATGCCGTCTATGACTTGCCATGTTTTTATTTTGCAAAATACAAATATTTTTCATATATATTTAGCCAGGTGTGCCGCTATTTTTCCATGTGTTCCAAGGTGTGCCGTTGGCAAAAAAAGGTTGAGAACCACTGGTGTAAAACTCATATTACATGGTCCATATGCAATGCCTTACTTTGTCAACCAATTGTCTAATTCCAATTTTTGATGTTTGTTTTTCAGAACATAACTCTTATTACTTGGTGGAAAAGAAATGTCGTTGAGTAACTTATTATTTTAAAGGTCAAGAAATAAAAACAAGCGATAAGAAAGATGCCTACCAAAGATCCACGATCTTATATACAGAGAGTAGCGCTACCGATATCTCCACAGAAGGGTTTAAAGATTCAAGCCAGATGTTCTACAGTTTATAACCCTGTCACACCAACACGAGAAGTTGTGCGTAAAGTCAACTACAGACGTCGACAAGAACAACTCCACACACAGGGTTTTAATGCATTAAATCATAAACCTTATAAGGGAATAGGGGATCCATTTTATTTAGACGAGAAACGGTTGGTGCTGAGTGCTCTTGGACAGCTTGATGATGTAAGTCCATGCAGTTATTACATGATGAAATTATTAAATCTTAGAATTATTTCTAATTAGAATTATTGCTCCTTTCAATTATTTTATCGTAACATTTTCGTTGCAATCATTCCCTTATAACATTTTTGCTTCACAAAATTCTTCCCTTATAACATTTTTGCTCCACAAAATTATTATGGCATAACTTTTATCTCCATAAAATTATTGGTTATCGAAATTATTGCGCTTTAAAAAGTATTGCATCATGGTTGGATGGTTGTGATTTTGAATGTATTGAAATATTGCAGCAATTTGATAATTTAATTTAAAAATGGATAATCCAGACTTTGTTAATTATCACAACAACGGTAGTAGTGGAATTCAAGACTATGTTATTCTACAAACATTCATAACTCCATAAGGAATTTGACTGACATTTTAAATATTTTATTTTTTAATATTATCTATTTGTAAACTATATAGCGAGAACTGTCGGCTGTTTATCTAAACCTTACATAATGCATCTTTAAGCTTAGAGCAAGAATTATTTGGCTTTAATTGTTATCTCTATTGAGTATTTCGTTGTGAAGATCTCTGTGAAATCATTGCTTCCTGAATTTATTGCCCCATAAAATTATTGATATGAAGTTATTACTCCATGAAAGTATTGCTACATGTAATTATTGTTTCATTAAACCTATTGCTCTTTATTAAATTATTCCTTTTTACCTGCCTTAAAGATACATTATGGCAGTTCTCGCTATAATAGTTAAAAACTAGATAGTGTAAAGGTAATTTTCTGAAAATTTCAGTCAAATTGATCCACTATGAACCGAAAAAGAAGCGGGTGAAATTTTTGCATAGTCTCGGTCATCATTACTAAAATCATTAATATAAACAGCATAGTCTTGATTATCCACTTTTTTTTATTTAATTATCAATGGCCGTTAGCGGCATATAAGAATCTAATCCAGCCAACATCGAAGGCTAGCCTTGACATCGAGAGTTTATTATGGTCTGGATAAGTTAATTAATGTCTAATTGATAATTTAGATAACATTTCAGGCCTAAAGAAAGACTTGTAATAAGCAGATTTTGCTCTTGCATAATGCATGTTTAAGTTTATATCAGGAATAGTTACGTTAAAGTAATGTTATATTATTTTTTCAGTCAGATGATTTTTACTCAACAAGTAGTTCAGATGAAGATGAAACACATCAGCGTTCCACTATTTCTACGCCTTATAATAGGAATGTACGTAGACCTATAATATTTATATACCTTATTTGACCCAGTTCTGGCCGATTTGTTTCAAAATGAATTAAGAACCCTGGGTTAGAGCTTACATGTATTTTTGATACAATAATCAAGCAAGGTCTGTTTCCATGCTGCATGTAACAATAAATCTGTGTCCAGTTGGACGAGAGAAGAAGAGAAACAGGGTTTAATGTCCACTCAACATAATTCTGATCATTTTGGCGGAAATTATGGTACAAATTTATTTCAATTCAATATAATTTGCTTACACGTATGGTACTTAAAGGAGCTAAATTACTAATATTTGGGACCTAAAATTGACACAAATGGGTCGCAACACATATGATAATGTAATATGAATGTATATAAACATTCAATCGTTTCCATTTTTACTCTAATTTCAAATCAGTTGGATGAAATGGACTGGTTGCTTGTTTATAATCTATTTTTAGTAGGCTTACCGATATATCCTTTAATATTCAAATTATTATCTATTTTACTAATGTTATTTCATGATACCTGATATATTAATAAAATCTAATTTAATATAACATAGCTGTAGTTATGTGGAAGTAAGATATTAATTTTGTTTTGGTATAAGATTTTAATATTAGTTCTCGTGACTTACGAATAATTCACTTGTTTAATCCTGTGTAATGTAAATTCATAAATAAATATACAAGTACTGAACTTTGATTATATATTAAATAACTCAGTCCCTGGACTGTTTTTCAACTATTATTCATATAATACATGACTTAAAATTTTTTCAATTTGATTTTAGTGTGTGCTCATTAGTTTCATAAGACATTCATTAGTCAAAAGGATAGGTCTTTCATGAAGTTGGCAGTTTCCGAATCATGGACTAATTAAAAAAAGTTGATTGCCCGCGAAGAAAAATAATAAAAAAATTAGTGATGTCTACTGATTTAAATTTTTCTTTACAATATGTTAGTCTCAAAATGACAGGGGGGTGGGTGGCCGAATGGTTAGTGCGTGCACATTGGATCAGAAGGTCTGTCATTGAGTCAAGTGGTGTGGTTTCGATTCCCTGCTTGTACGTGACAAGGAGTAGGGTCGCTTGTCCAACCTCATGTTCTCCAGTTTCCTCCCACTGCTAAAGGCCCCTACACGTACATGCAAGTGAATTATAGAAATAAAATTTTACCATATGTTAGTGTTAGACACAAAATGACCTAGTTTGTAGAGTTGAGGTTAAACCTCTCTCTCTCTCTCTCTTTCTCTCTCTCTCTCTCTTTCTCTCTCTCTCTCTCTCTCTCTCTGCATTGTGTTGACAAAATGTTTAATTGTGTGCCAGAAATTAAATGGGGTTTAACGACCTACTATTCTAGGGATAATCAAGATGGGCATACACTATACAGTGTGCTATGAGGAAATTTTGCCCGGGACAAGGGGAAACCATACCGAAAAATTATGATACTTTCTCAGCCAATGCAGGGATTGAACATGCAACCACCAGGCTAGCGAAACAGCGTCTTACCCACTTAGCCACTGTGACTCCCTAATTGTGTGCCTTCTCAGTATTTTACAAAAACAAGTCTATGTTAGTTTATTGAAATCCACAATGTGACAGAAGTACAATAGTTATTTTCATTTTGATAACTTAGATGATTAAAACATTGAAGCTTCATGTTCATCAATAAAAATCATTTATCATTCAGACATTGATTTATCAAGTGGAAGAAATTGAAGATGGCAGCACGTAAACAGTAGAATTTAAGTTAAACTTTAGATCCATAAGTTATGTTAGGATTGATAAATTGGTTACGACTACTTTTTAATGTGTATAGACAGAAAGTCTCTGTGTGCTTTTTAGCCTGGAATGTTGTGCCATGTAGTTAAATGAAAACAAATTTATTTTATTCATATAATTTACATGAACATATAAATTTATGCATTACATATAAATGTATGCTTTCAATTTTATTTGTAACATTCAGTCATTCTTTTTCGTAATACCGTCAAAGCTTATTCATTTATAGCCTAATCTCTTTAGCACATTCAATATACAGTAACACAGTGTTGGTTTGAATAGAAATGACAAGATTTTATTAATAGAATGAGATTAACCCTGTTGGGTTTAGTGAAAGTTGACAGCAATGACTTATGATAAGGGTATTAGTTTGTTATATAAAAGATTAGATGAGATTTATTTTTGTACAGTAAATACATTGAAGATATCAATGTGATCTATCTAGGTGGGGATTTGGGCTAAACTATGACATTTCTTTGAATTCAAACATCTTAGTGATCTTATGCACTATCCTGTTGTATTTTTAACCCATCTGAAAGACTAGACATTTTTCATGCCCTGCCTCAATTTTATTTACTGATTTATGGATTTCTCCCATAATGCATAAGTCAGTGCACACCTCACGATCACCAGCTAAATCTATTTAAAGCCAGCTCAGTTTTTGTTAAGGTTGCTGAGATGTAAATAAGGTTAGACCACATGATTGTTGGCGGGATTGTAGGTTAGGGTTAGGGTAAGCATTGGGGCTAGGTCCAGGATTAGGGTTATGGTTGGGATTAGCGCTAGCCCTTTTTACACCTCGTGACCTATATCAAAAAATTGAGCTGGCCTTATCATTTAGCACTAACCCATCTCAACAAAGCTTTGACGAAGCAGACCATTTGATTGGATGATCTCATATATCAAACAGAACATTTTTTAAATTTTTTCCTTACCCAAAATATTCATTAATATTGACATGATATAAAGATATGAACTACAACATTCAGTTGATGGATCTGCACAATAACCAGAGCATATATAAGTTCACCTTTAAAACATCCTTCCAGATCCTATGGTCTAAATACGATCTGTGTTTTATTCAAATCACTTTGTCCCCTCCATCCCAGATTCAGATTCACACCTCTGCTTTCCACCATGGAATCAGATTACACCCTCCACTCTCAATGTGTCACCACATAATCAGAGTTTTTTCTTTCAGTCACTCTGATGAATGGATTTGTTTACTTGATTTAATGCAATTCTTAACAGATTTGATATGTTTTGTTTTTGTAGACTGCTGCCAAGTTTATGCTAAGAAGAAAAAGAAAAGATTTAAACAATTTAAACAAAGAAGTCAGCCATGGCAGGTAATTTATTTACTGAAATATGTTTATATTCTGTGGGCTTATTGACCAAAAGTTTAGTCATATCAATAATGAATATTTAAATGTAATTAAAATTAGATAGCGAATCTGAGTAATTGTACAAAATTGGAGCTGGTGTTTTTTGATCATGTGAACTTATTATTTACCAATCAAATTGTCTGTATTGGTATTTGGAGATTCATTTTCTGCGGAATTATGGGAATTTTAAACCTAAATGTATAGGAGAGTGATTCTGATTGGTTTAGCAGTTTAAAAACTATTGTCTCATTAAAAGTGTGGAATGATCGAGGAAATGTTGTAACTTACATTCAAGAATCTCTCCAATTTCCACGGAATTGTCACTTCTGACTCAGGATATTAATCTTAAACCCAATGAAGAAATCAATGAAGACAATGCATATGCGGTATTATTATGAAAGGAATATATTATGACAGAAAGCTGAATGAGTTTGTATTGGATAATAAATCATGCAACAAATCATATCATGTGGTTTATTAAGATAAACTGCTTAATAGAAAGATAATAACACATTATATAATCAACTAATATTTTCTTAGGTTATGATAGGAATATAATTAAACAGAGATTTAATTAACTGTTATATAAAAAGTACTCACATAATCCATACTACTGAATTTGTTTAGTGGGTAGGGGGAAAAAACGAAAGAGTATTAAGTGTATAATCTATATTATCATGGAACGTCTTATTCTACCACACTCTGCAGAGTGCCACAGGGAAATTTTACTAATGTTTCTTTCAAAAGATCAAGCGGAGTCAGCTTATTTAAATAAACAATCAACAGATTGTCATCCCACGAAACAAATCAACATCTAATTAAGGAACTCCTATCTAAAAAGATTCACTCACAAGATCAACCCTAAGCAGGGATCCACAAACGAGTGGAGTGCCGGTCCTTATTCCAACAATGTGTCAAACAAGACTAATATGTGCGGCAAATTAGACCGAAATAGCTATTTCTTTATTGGGACAACTGACAAGAAATCTCTCGGTCACAATGTTTCAAATTGCCTGGGTAGAAATATAGTCTACCTACTAACTTGCTAACTATGTGGGAGGCACCGGGGCTAAGTGGGTAAGATGCTGGCTTGGTAGTCTGGAGGTCGCAAGTTTGCTCCCTTTGTTTGCCAAGAAAGTACATCAAGATTTTCCGTTTTGGTTTCCTCTTGTCAGTGGTGCAGGATTGAGGACGTGACAAGGACAGCTGTCTAGTCGTTCAGATGGGACTAAAAAACAAGGCCCTGTGTACACATGGCGTGTATGTAAAAGTTCCCTCAGCCGTTGGAATTCTATATAAGAGTAGGCATTTGCACTGCTGTTCGGGCAAAATTTCCCTCATGGCACACTATATGGCATATGCCCGTCTTCATTAACCCAGTCAGAACAGAACAGTAGGACATTAAACCCCATTTCATTTCACTGCTAACTATGTTAAATACAACACATGGGAGATATTAAACATAAGAGACCTTAATCGGTTGATATACATTTTAATCTCAAAGGACACAACAGTAGAAATGTTACGAAACAATTGAGGTTTAGTGACAAAAATATGTCATTTGGAAATTATCTGAATCAAAATGGATTCACACTTTAAGGACTTTAGCATTGGATGGTTCAACGATAAGATTTAGTCCCAAAAAATTCCACCCTCTTTGTTTACACAATATTATTCACTGAAATCGACAATTGTTTTTTCGCTCAAAATCAAACAGGTCCAGACATTGAATATTTTTGATCTTGATTATTGATTATAGAATTTATTATCATCTGATTTCTGTTAAAGTTATCTAAACAATCAACTTGTATTATTTTATTTGCTTTATGATCGACTCATCTATCATACTTAACTTTGTTCAAAATAAACACTGGACGATTAATCTACTTGTAAAATAAATACTGGATGATAGGTCTACTTGATTTATGTACCGGTATTAGCAGACTAAACTGTCCTTGATACACCGTATAAGGTCAAATTATCGGGAGCATGACAAAATATGATTTATTTTTCGGGCTGTATTAGGCACATGAAGGTGCCCTAAATTTAAAAAATACTCATAAATGTGACTGGGAGACTGAGACATGTTTTCACTGTTAGCCAAGTTTTGCTTTTATTGGCTATGGATTGTATAGATTTATCCATAGAAAGTCAGTATATATTTCTATGATTTATCACACTCCTATTGATTACGAGGAGCCAGGGTGGCTAAATGAATAAGAACTGGCTACCTAACCCGGAGGTCGCGTGTTCGATCCCCGTGTGGGCAGAGAAAGTTCATCAGGATTTGCTGACGGGGTTCCTGATCCTTCTCAGTGGTGCAGGACCGAGAGTCTGGCAAGGGACAATGTATAGTCATTTGGATGGGATTAAAGATCCCTTGGCAGTTGGAATTCAATTTGTAGCGCCACTGTCCGAGCAAAATTTCCCTTATAGCACACTGTATGGCATATGCCCATCTTTATTAGCCCAGTTGGAACAGTATAGTAGGACGTTAAACCCCATTTCTTTTCATTTTCATTTCCTATTGAATACTGTTGAAATAATAACCCCAATTGAAGGAGGTAATTGGCTAAAATCGCCATAGTGGCTCAATAAGTAAGATGCTAGCTCACTTACCCGATAGTCACAGGTTCGATCCCTGTGTTGGCTGTGAAAATTACTCTTAGGATTTTTTAACCAGGAACTAGTTCCATACACTTGTTGTTCTTGCTCTTGTTAAAGAAAAAAACCTAAGGCTCCAACAGTTGAAATTTGATCGACATGAAACTTGGCATGTTTGTTTTTAGATAATCTGGCTTAGATTGATGTCACAATTCCAAAATTGCTCATAGTACGTGTAGATGTAGCTGTACTTGTTCACCATAGTTTCCCCATGTGTGAATGGCTGAGGGCTTACCAAGGAACAGCCTCTAGTCGTTTGGTTTCGACTATAATCTAAGGTCCAGTGTACACATTGATATGCACTTAAAGGAACCCTTGAAAGTTAGAATTTGAATTTAGGGTGAAACAGGGACAATAACAGGCCCTAAATGACTGTAGGGCTGTAAGCAGTAGCATGTTAAGCTTACGACTAAATTTGTCCATGTATGCATTATTTAGAGACAACTAATAGAATGCTGATGGAAACCAAACACACTTCTTGCTGAAATCTGATGAGGTCCTTTTTGTAATTCTAGAGTTGTTCTACATAACATAACAATGATGTTGATTTGTGTTATTTGTGTTTTTCAGGAGTTTAATACGTAATGTAAAGTTGGGTCATGGTTTATTCGATCTCATTAAACAGGAACGAACAGCTAAGGTAAGTTTTATGTAGATCTACAAGTAATCATGTGGTTAGTTACAGACTAGAATGGTTGTTGACTTGATAAAGACAATAAAAACCTTGTGAAAACGTAGCAAATAGTCTCAGCAGCAGGTTGGTAGTAATGATGCCAAGACGCAGAGGTAGAATAGCAAGCCAGGCTAGGGCGCTGGGAGGTCCACAAAAACGGCATAACACAAGGCCACCAGCATATCTCTAATGATCCTGATTCAGCAGGAAGATTTGAATTGATGAAGCAAATCCTAAAATAACCGGGAATTGAACAGAAACAGCCTTTTTTTTCTGCCTTTCGCCTATTATTAACATCTTTGCTGAGTAATTGTTTCCATAAGTATGTGTCTTGTGTTATTGAAAATTAAATTTTTGATCCTTTCTAGAAAGCAGCCATTGCTAAAGCATATCGAGAGAAGGTAGAAGAAGCTAAAAATGCTTGGCAACCGCCAAAATCTGACAGTTCAGATGAATCGGATGATGCAATTCCACATGATGTTGAACTTGACAGGTAATAAAAATTAAATGAACCTAAATGGTCTCCTAGAAAATACATAGAAGTGGTGGTCAAAATATCAGTCTTCTACAGACGGATAGTCTCATAAGATGATAATACTTACTCTTTCTAGACAATCAAGACTATCAAGGGGGCTGCACTACAGACCTCCCATACGTACATGAAGACATTTTATGACAAAATTTGGGCAGTAATCATAGATTGGACTATAATTGGACAATATACATGTATATATCAATGAATTCTGTCTTCCCAATCAAATAATGGCCTATACATCCTTTTTGTGTTGATTTTGCCTTTTAATCAGTGGTGTAGATTTATTATGTAGAGTATTTGTATCATTAAAAGATAAAATCAGACTTGTTCATGTATTGAGTTTTCAGCATATCTTCAAGATATCGATGTTAGATTTGTATCTAAATATGTTTATGCTTCTAACTAGATTTTGGCACATTGCTTATTTAACATAAGTAGGCTATATTATTTTGATCAATCCGATTTTCAGTTTTATTATATAATTTGTATTTTTTATACGCCCACATTTTCCTGTGGATGTATATTGTTGTCACCCCTCTCTGTCCAGACGTCCATTTGTGGACACTCTATACAGGTCACAATTTTTATCTGTTTTTTGCAGAAACTTGAAAAATAGGTTCATCTCCCATGGATCTTGGTTCCTTTCAAAATTGGGATGTATAGGACCATAACTTCATGGATTATTGCCCCTGGTTGTACGAAAAATCACATATTTAGCTTGTGGACACTCTAGAGGTCACAATTCATAACCGATTTTGATGAAACTTGAAATGTACATGTATGTTTATAACACAAAGATCTCAGTTTCTGTCGATATTGGATCGTGACTTCCTGGATTATGGCCCCTGTGGTTTTTAGCTTGTGGTCCCTCTCGAGATCACAAATTTTATCCAATTTAAAAAAATTTTTTTTTAATATATCAGCGTTATACCATAATGATGGTTGAGTTTGAAGTTCGAAAATCGGACCGAAACTGCCTGAGAAAATGAACACCCCTTGTACGCAAATAGTGTAAAAGTATGGTATATCACATTTGAGGACTCTCTAGAGGTTTTGATTCGATTTTGATGAAACTTTTAATTTAAGTTTTTAACGTTAATATCTTGGTTCCTTTTGATAATCGCGCATATCAGAACATAACTTCCTGGATTATACTCCCTGCATGATTGTATGAAAAATCACGTTTTTAGCTTGTGGACCTTCTAGAAAAACTGTTTAAATATATCACAGTTACACCCTAATGAAATTTCGTGAAAATCAGACCAAAACTGCCTGACAAAATGGCAATTCCTTGTACGCAAATAGTGTAAAAGTATGTCATACCAAGTTTGTGGACACTCTAGAAGTTACTATATTTATCCGATTTTGATAAAACTTAAAATATATGTTTATATCCAAAAGATCCCAGTTCGTGCATATCAGAACATAACTTTGTAGATTATGGCCCCTGATTGTACAAAAAAAATCACATTTATTTTGTTAGCTTGTTCTCTGTCCATCTCTTGCAAAATATGGGAGTATCTTGCATGTCAACCGCTTTTTTATTGGACTCAAATTAACACCAGACAAGTTCATCATCCACTGATCTGTTTATATATTCGTGTGCAGCAGCTCTGAATATATGATAGATCTAATGCCATGTAAAAAATAATCAGAACCATAAAGAGGAAGGAAAGATATAATTTTAATTACATTGTATTTTAATTAGCTTCTATAATGAGACTAGTTTAAAAGCTTCATGTTTGTTATAGACTACTGTTTTATGAGTGGCATAAAAATAATCATTACAGTTCTTTGGAAGACGGGGGGGGGGGGGGCGTTGGATGGCTGAATGGTTAGTGTGCGCACGCTGTATCATAAAGTCTGTCATTGAGTCGACTGGCGTGGTTTCGAATCCTCGGTTGTACGTGGCAAGGAGTAGGGTCGCCTGTCCAACCTCGTGGGTTTTCTCCGGGTCCTCCGCTTTCCTCCCACTGCTAAAGACCCCTACGCGCAAGTGAATTATGTAAATAAAATTAAACTGTGTGTTAGTCCCGAAATGACCTAGTTTGAGTCGAGTGGACGTTAAACCCCATTTCTCTCTCTCTCTCTCTTTGGAAGACAATTCTTGAATTTTGCTTGAACCTATGTAAATAAACTGATTATGTAAAGCACAGTATTTTAAAAACGAAATATCTACCTTTTACACTGATAGTGTGGTTTCACCAATTATCTCCATAGAATAGTTGTGATTATTGCAAATTTATATTTAATTCTAGTGCTTTGTGTAGATATATTCACAATTAGTTATTTAAAGGCCGAGTTGGAATTATACATTGCTATAATGATATCCTAGTAGTTAGAGTGCTTTATATATTTTTGCTATATTTTCTGATTGACAGTAGTTATTATTCTGGTGATGAGAGAGACAGTATATTTCTAACACAACCTAAAGATCACAAAGGTGTGGCTTTCTCCAGGTAGGATAAACATTTCTCTTAATGGGAAAATTTTATTGCTTACATTAGTATATGCTTCAAATTTCATAAGATAGTATATTATTATACAATATTAATATAGGCTTTGTTATTATTATTGTTATTTACTCATGAAATCTTTGTAGAGTGCCGGTAGTCAAATTTGGTGACATCAAAATGAAAGGCACAACCTACCAGAATGTACAGCATTATTTTATATGTATTACACCTCCTAGCAGACTGCATTAAATTCACATTGAGAAATAGGTCGGGGAAATAATCGTCGCAACATTTCTCAGAAAGCAACCAACCTAAAAAACAAAAAAAAAACAAAACAAAAACCTATTTGTAAAGAATGGGTTGGTTTATAGAATTATTACTATTTTGATGTACAGAGAGAAATAAAGATGGTGGCATAGCTTAAAGGGCCAATCCCGATAATATTTTGGAGAATAAAACTGGTTAATTTTGTGTTAAAATTGCTTAAAATCCTCTACCTTAGGGCCGAACAACTCACTTAATATATTTGATACGTTTTCAAACAACTTAAACCCGTCAGTCTTAATCTGGAGGTGGGGACCGGTGCCCAAAGTTGTATTATGCGGTGTCTGGATAAAACAAGCCTTTTATTTTATAAAAATAATGTGTAGGTGAAATTTACCTTTCGTTATCAAGTACAGCACATGGGTCATTCACTGTATAAACCTCTAAAGGAACGGTAATCGATTATCAGGTCACCCAACGAAAGAATTGACCCAAAATCTTAAAAGGATTACGTGTCCGGATAAGCAGTTTTGACGTTCACGTCCAAATGACTCAATATTTTGAGCTGAAATTTTGAGACAGAGTAAAATACACCATTTCTTTATATTTTGGCACTTAACTTTCATACCTACTCAGACTTTTAAGTTTGAGACTCTGTTCAATTTGGCATAGACCCTTTAAGATATAGTTGACTGATTTAATTGAATCATTTTTGGATGAGTATATGTTTTGGTAAGGGCACTTTAACTTGGTTTTCAAAATGGCGGCAGTTTTTAAATGAACAGTATGTTTTATGATTTTAGTGATGGGGGTTCAAGACCAAGTAGTTCACGTTCAACACCTCGAAAAAAGAAGAAAAATATTCCTCCACGTCCCTTCACACCAAAATACACTAGTTTATCGGAGGTCACAGATCATACGCAAGATTTTGAGACAAATTTAAACAGCAGTAGATCTCCTACTAGGGATGCATCACCCGAGTCACTGCCTGTCGTGCCAGTCGTTTCGGCCAATACTTCTATTGTCAGTGCTGACTGTAAAAATCCTTCATATGATGTCTCCAGGTTTGTTTTTATTTTCCATTGGGGGTGATGGTGGTTGTGTGGTAGGTGAATAGAATGTCCCAGGACATGAACCAAGAATCTTCAGCATTGTTCAAGTCTGGCTCTCACTGGTTAATCTTATCTGATATCCAGATTGGTAGTGTAGGTAAGGCATCCCTTGGTACTTGGGGGCGGTGGTAATCAAGTGTTCAGAGAAATGGAAATGAAATGAAATGAAATGGGGTTTAACGTCCTACTGTTCTGCTCCTATACTGGGCTAATGAAGACGGGCATACGCCATACAGTGTGCTATGAGGGAAATTTTGCCCGGGCAGCAGGCTGACATGGAAAGTTTGGGATGTGACAAAAATAGACGAAGTATCCTTGAAGAGTAGGCAAATCCCCTGACCTTGCACTGCACATGTAACCATTCCTTGTCATTTAGTTTAGACTATTTTGAGCAACATGATTTGTTTGCAATAGTACATTACATTGGTTGTACATAGTTTTTGCATTACATGGAATTTGCCCACATGAATATTTTGGCTGTAGGAATTGATTCCAACTTTGTAATAATGAACTTGAAAAGTAATGCAATGGGGTTTAACGTCCTACTTTTCTGGACTGTCTTTGCTAATGAAGTTAGGTTTTCACTTCAAACAATTAACCACCTATAGAATCAATGCATTAATTGGTCCTACATGTGTAGCAACAGATAATCAATATGATTGAAGTAGATATCCAAAATTAGGTTTTCACTTCAAACAATTAACCACCTATAGAATCAATAAATTAATTGGTCCTACATGTGTAGCAACAGCTAATCAATATAATTGAAGTAAATATCCAAAATCTGAGTTCTGATTGTTTTGGGATTAGTTTTCGGCTTAAAGACAACAAAAGAACTTTCATCGACTGGTATGCAGGCCAGCGGCGGATCTACAAATTTTTGCAGGCTCCTGTTAAAAAAATTTGTCAGTTGACAATGCATGATGCCATCATCGTTTAATTATGTTGGCATACATACACAAAGAGAGAAATCCAACACTCCATGTGATGTCAATTTTTATAATGAATTAATAGGATCACATTGTGATTCAATTTTATTGATGCAAAGCATTAATTGTGATATCACACATGTCTATATTATTATTTTGTGCTTTGAATGCTAATCCCATCCCACCATCTGATGATAAAGGATAAAGCACAAGACCATTACACTTTTCTCATAAAGTGTTGTTTTACAATTATTTTTATGTAGCTGAGCAAAGTGGTGTTTGCCCCCCCCCCCCCAACCCCCTCTAGATCCGCCCCTGCAGACGCAGTAATTTTTGTTACAGGTTCAATAACTACCTTAAAAAAAGCTGAGCAGAGTGGGGTTTGGACACCACCACCCCCCTCTGGATCCGCCCCTGCAGACGCAGTAATTTTTGTTACAGGTTCAATAGCTACCTTAAAAAATGCCGCGCCGGCAATATTATCTACCTGACATTGCTAGTTTCACACGTTGCTTTTCTTGTTTATCCTAAAATTTTATCAAGAACACAGACATTTTCTAATGTTACTATTTCTTTATATTTGATTTAAATCTATTTTCAGAGATTCACTGTTTCGTCAGCTATGTGTATTAAACTGGATATTAGAAGCTATGAATTTAGATCAGGGATATTCAATGTGTCCAATAACAACTTGCTGGAAACTTACAAAAAGGTAAATATTTCATATATTTCCCTGTAATAAAAGCCTTAGTGGACAAGGCGGCTAATAAATTTTCCCTTATTTAAATTGAACAAAATATTGTAATAGATGGAAAGAGTTCTTTAAATAGTAATTTAGAAGATTGTAGAAATTAATGAATTATTTTTCAGACAACTTAGCGATAAAAGATAGCGACATGAAATCAATGGTACATATCTATTTAAATAATTCACTTGGTGACGCTGCTCATGGACATGCACAAGGATGGGATCAAAATCATGCCCATCTACTCATTAACAGATATTAGACTACTCTGCCACCGAGTGACCCTCCTCCCCCCCCCCCACACACACACACTCCCCATTATCATTAGAACATAGCTAACTATTATTTATGAATAGGCCATTTTTTTATGATTCTCATTTATTACATGTATTTTATTACAGTGATATTGGTGGTAGTAAAATATCAACTAAAAAACTACAGAAAGAAAAAACAACAGAAACTAATTGGAACCATTTTGTGACAAATACGGGTGTTCATTCTAGGGTGATTATATACTTTTACACGCTGTGGGATGTTATTTCTTTTGATCTCCCATGCATGTTATGAAACGTATCAAATGAATGCCAGTTTGTGAACTGAAATGTAATGCACGTGCAACTTACGACTTGTTTTCTTAATTTTGTCGTATCAGTCGCAGGGCCGATATGGACTAAACCATTGTCTTATAGGTGAAATCAATTAGGATAGATTTAACATTGATGTCGGTGTGTAAGACAAATATTACCCTAATACCCTCGGTCGATATGTGAAATAACCCACCTACGACCTTCAGTGTCAGTTATTTCACATATCAACCCTCGATTAGGTTAATATTTATCTCGTATATGTATAGACACACCTGTCATAGCTTTTTATTTAAGCCCTGAGTAATATAAGGCTATATTTGAAAATATATTTAATCTCAGATACAGCTGCATAAGTTGAAAAGGAGTTCATGACATGTTTTTATTTCAAAAACTGAAAGCTAAAAACATAAACCATCCTCATTGACTAATGGTAAAGGGAGGAAACTCTATTAATCATGTCAGTGATGAATGACAGAGAACCCGACATAGAACAGTGTCTAGTCATTCGGATGGGGCAGAAATCCAAGGTCCTTTGTACACGTTGGTGTGCATGTAAAAGAACCCCTGACCAATGGAATTCAATGATGATTAGGTGGAATGTCACTAGCTGTCTGGGCAAAATTTCCTTCATAATTCTTTAGCCAGATGATTCTTTGACAAAATGAAAAAACGAAAATGAAAACATCCCTTGCATATCCTATTTTTTGGAAAGAGTGTCTGAGAAATGAGATGGGGTTTAATGTCCCACTGTTCTGCTCTGAATGGGCTAATGACCTTGACTTTTCGTCCATTCTGAACGATTATAATATGTTGTCTCTTGCCAGGCCCTATGTCTGTACTACTGACAAGGGGGAACCAATCCGGAAAATCCCAATGAACTTTCTTGGCCAACACCCGGATTGAACACAGGACCTCCAGGTTATCGAGCCAACATCTTACTCATTGAGACACTGTGGCTCCCGATTGTCTGAGAACCAGAATATATTTTTTGTATGACCAGATTGAACGCAGGACCTCCAGGTTATCGAGCCAACATCTTACTCACTGGGCCACTGTGGCTCCCAATTGTCTGAGAACCAGAATATGTTTTTTGTATGACCAGATAGCACTATATAAATTTAAATGCCATTTTTGAAAATCTGTTAAAAGGTGAAAGTCGTCAAAGCAGCATCACACATCTAAATTTAATATTATTTTTCCTTTCATCACTCTCATATCGCATAATTTGTATTTAATAGATGAATAAAAGATCAAGTGGACAGAGATTAAGTCGACAGTTTACAAGCAGACGTGTATTTTTACGTACTTCTGTTCAATCATCAGTTAGTCCTAGTAACAGTGTAACACAACTTAATGTCAATTCCTTGTCCAATCAGCTTCATCCAGGGGGCACTATTCCAGAAGATTCATCTGTATCTCCTGTACAGGAACCACCAGAAGAAGAAGAAACAGCTTATAGCAGAAGTAAGTAAATGAAATTAGTTATGTTGTAATTGATGTTCTGAAAAAAGATGCTCCGATTAAGGCCACACAAAAAATATATTCTGGTTCTCATACAAACCTTTTAAAAAAATAGATGTGGGAGGGCATTTTTGGGGGGCCGTTTTTTGTTTTTATTTTGTCAAAATACTCAAAATCTAGCTAGTTTTTCATTTTTAAGAAACACACAAAATTTTTAGAAATTCAATATTTATTCAACTCTTAATAAGAAAAACAAAAAAAGAGTAAGAATTTAAAATAACGACCAAATAATTCTGTGACTTCATCTATCAACATCAACTCCTGGGAAAATGTTTTCAAATTTACTTGTTTTATTTTGGCGACCATTACTTAGATCTGTGTAGTATCGATACCATTCTCATTGTTAAAGCATGGATTTTGTTGGCAATTTAAATCAAAGTCTGCACCCTCAATCTCCCTGCAGAGAATATTTTTGGTCATCTCTCTCAGAGTCATATTCCTAGGGAAAGATAAGGCATTTTGATTGTAAAAAAAAAAAAAGACAGAGCAAGAGCAAAATTGTTGCCATCTTTGCTAATAATAGAGTACAATTCCATTATCCAGTGCTGTTCGTGATTGTCAATAGTGTTTTCCATGGTTATACGTTATTGATAGTCTAGTCAAGTATTCATTTCCTGTTATCAAGAAATGTATAATAGAGTTACTTTCCTTGATTGCGGGAAATATGAACGAGCATGTTTCATTGCCTTTGTTTTAATTTTTTTATTTTGTCAATAAAAACGTGTGACTAGGCCCATTTTTGATGATAGTACAGCGGTATTTGATAACTAAAATATTTTTTTTGTGTGTCCTTATTACAATAAGTAGAGGTTCATGGAGACTCAAAACCTGAAATTCGCCAAAGTTGTAGGTTTAGCAATTATACGGCCGTACTTCCTATTTAGACACAAATGCCTGATGTTACTGTCCACTGTCTGTGCTGGTATTGTAGCTGAACTGCTATATTTTGTTATAAAGGGAATTCACACACTCTTTACTGAACTACAGTGTTGATTACAAATCACAATTTTGCTTGTATGCTCAAATTAAAAAATCATATTGGTGTTCAGATTAGATTGTATGCAAAACTTGAGACAAATCTCTCAGTGATTACTGATATACAGACCTTTTAACTTTCAGTGTAGGAGTCCTACAAATTATATAGTAGTTTTCAAGTAGTTTAACCTTTAAATAGTCATTGTGGACACACTTTATTTTGATGTAATGGTCTCACCTGTCAACATTTTACTTGGTCAGATCCAAGTACATATTTTACATGATATTAAAGACCAAAATCAACTAGGGAAGTGGTTCTGTGTCAAAATCTTGTTTTACAGAAAACACCAACATAGTTTTGTTTTGTTTCGTTTCAAAACTTGCTGTAAACATAAATTACTACTTAGAAATGGCTAAATCATTCTCAGTGATCATAATAACCATCATCCATTACGTTTTTCAATATATGCATTTATTCTGAAGTTATTCTGACAGTGTAAATAATTTCTGAGACAAAATTAGAAATAATAATACTTTAAGATTTATTTTTATCTTTTTTATCTAATTTAATTCTAACATTTATTTTTAGTGGGATCAACAGGTAACAAGTCATATTTTATGTACATTGTAATGTCACATCACATCACTGACCTATATTAACCCTTTAAGCACAACATAATAGTTTTTTGGCATCTGGTTCCAGTAAATGATTCATTGTTTTCTGGTTTTAAAGAAATATTGTCAGATAACACAAGACACAATTATATGGAATACATGTTACTTGAAAGTTTTATTTCTGGCGATGTTTCGACAAGGTTTCTCTTCTCTTTATCAAGCAAAGACAAGAGAACCCTCATTCAAACATCGCCAGAAATAAAACTTTCAAGTAACTTGTATTCCATATAATTGTGTCTTGTGTTATTCTCATCCAGTTACTAAATGCCACTCAAACAATTTATATTATCAGATATAGAAAGGAATTAAAATACTCCGAGTAGCAACTTAAAGGGTTAATGTCACAATAAATCTTGCATCACATCACAGAATGTTGTTTATTTGTTTCACACAAGTTTTTGATGTGCACCTCACTTAATGATATATGTTTGATATCAAATATTATGGTGTTGCCTTATATAAGATATTTAAATATTTTATTCCATGATTATTTCTTTACTCATTGTTTGTGGTCTATGAATTTAAATATATATAAGATATTATAACTATTGTACAGTGTTGTATTACATGTGTGTTGTGGTTTGAATTAATGTGTGATAATATAATAATCTACTATAAAAACCCTACAATATTCAATGTATATTATACCTTTAATGTTTCTTGCCAATATTATTTATAAAAATTGATTGTATTTTTAGGGAAAGAATTTAATGGATTAGAATGGGGTTTTAATATCTCGTAAACACACGCCTTGGTTAATATGGGGACTCATGTATGGGTATTGTCATTTGTGTTGCTATGCATGCAGGGGGGTTGGATGGCTAAATGGTTAGCATGTGAAGGTCTGTCATTGAGCCAACTGGTGGGGTTTCGAGTCCCCAGTTCCCCAGTTGTACGTGACAAGAGTAGGGTCGCCCTTCCAACCTCGTGGGTTTTCTTCAGGTCCTCCGGTTTCCTCCCACTGCCAAAAACCCTTACGCACAAGGGAATTATTGAAATAAAATTGAACCATGTGTTAGTCCCAAAATGACCTAGTCTGTGTCGATGGGACGTTAAACCCCATCTATCTCTCATTCTTTGCTATGCGTGCAATGTGAGTTGAGCAAAATTTTCTGCCCATTCTTTTTCCATTTCCAGCTATCAAGGGTTCCTGTACACAGGTGGACTAGGCACTCTTACTATCAGGCCTTGCAAGTGCCACCCAAATCTAGGTTCCTTGACAGCTGGAATTCAAAACTGAGCAGGCCAAAATGACACTCATTGAGCAAAATATAACTCGCACATTGCAGACATATTTATAGATATAAACAGAAAGTTCATATGGTAGTCTCAAAATGACCAAAATAATGTTTCTACGAGAAATTATACATGATTCCAAATCATTCTAATCCAAGACAATTGTTGTTTAACCAGTGAGCCAAACTGGGCTAGTTGTGTACAAATAATCAGTAGAATAAGTAAATCGGAAAGTTTTCTCTCTAATTGTGCTAACCATCCAAATGTATTTAAATATCAGACTGTGGAAAATGTTGATTATTCACGATGGTGTATTACGCTGTTCCACTGGGAAACAGTTACCATTTTGTTTTGCTCAAACAACATTTAGTATCTCAACTTTTTATCTAGAATCAGACCACTATTTAGAAAGTTGTAAAATTGTTTTTTACCATTATGATTTAAACATATAGCCATTTGGTAGTTTATAGTTTCTATACACTGCACTCAAAACTTGCAAACTAAATGCCCATTCTCAAAGCGAAATAGTTTAAATTAAATAGTGGTAAAAACAGCTTGCCTTTTGTTTATTATAACCTAGTTTTCAACTTTCTAAGAGATATTTTATTAACTATACGATACTGTTAGTCTATAGAAAATAGGAAAGAAACCCAATGTTTTCCTTTCACTACATTCACGAGAACAATAAGAGGGTATTATTATAAAAGTAACTGGGAGAAATTATGTTTTATCAAATATCTTCTTAAGAATCTGCCCCCAACTTCAGACCATGGACCTGATGCAGTTTTTGAAATTAGAGAACCATACTTATTGGCCTGGGTTGTATATCTGTTTTGTTTTGTTTCAGGTATATTTAAGTTTTTAGATGAATATTACGCTACTTTAAAACCAGAGACTGACGGTCCAGATAAAACAGACGACACTACTTCCGAACGACATAAACGAGAAAAACGGTAATTATTATAAAACACTCACAAACCAGCAGATAGTCTTTGACAATGGATTAACTCCCTTTAAATTTGAATTAATTCTCCAGCCCAAAGGTTAATGCAGGCTGAAAGATTATTACAATCATGTACCTTATTGTCTGAGGATCCGTGATACTTTTTCAAAGAAATGCAAGCTTTCAGATTAAATGTGGATTTGGCCACAAGTCCTTGTATTCCTGCCATGTAAGTGCCTAGGTAATCATTTCTAAACACTAGCCGAACTTAAGTCATCATTACTATTGTCAAAGCTTTTCAAACGTGTGTTCAAACTTTGTTTTGCTTTTCAATACATAAAATTCAAGTAGAATTTACAAAAAAAGTTTCCATGAAGTCCGTTTACATCAGTCATTGGACCAAATTTCATCAATGATAAGGATGATGATGATTTCATATTATTTCAGAGCAAGTATATCAGATGGTAAATCATCGAGAAAATCCCACAGAAAAAGTTCTGTAAGTTGATTTTGTAATTCTTATGAAAACAAAAGAAAGGAAATGAAATGAAATGGGGTTTATCGTCCTACTGTTCTGCTCCAAACTGGGCTAATGAAAACGGGCATACGCCATACAGTGTGCTAGGAGGGAAATTTTGCCCGGACAGCGGCACTACAGCCTACTTTTATATCGAATTCCAACGCCAATGTGTATATGGGACCTCAGTTTTTTGTCCCATCCGAACGACTAAGACAGCTGTCCTTGTCAGGCCCTGCCCTCCGTCCTGCATCACTGACAAGGGGGAACCATGCCGGAAAATCTGGATGAACTTTACCTCCAGGCTAGCGAGCCAGCGTATTACTCACCTAGCCACCGTGACACCCTAAAAACAAAATTATATATCTGATAGATTACAAGGTAGTGTAAAAACAATGGAAAATGAAATTGTAATTGTTTTTTAACTGTTCACCCCAGTCATGTAATTTGGCTGTAGTCACGACAGTAGTTTGTGATTAAATTGTTCATGATTAAAGCAGTTAGAGAAACACCACTAAGACCAATACAGGATGTATTTTATGTTGTTAAATATTAAATTGTTGTGATTTATTATTTGTAGAAACAAGAACGAAGAGAATCACGAGTTCAGTCAGCTCGTACCAACTCTACAGATGACAGACTTCCTTCTCGTGGGTCAAGCACTAACTCTAGAATTATCAGACCTAAAAGGTAAATTCAAAACCAGTTGTTTTCTAAAGACTAATCTTGTACACAATCTTGTGTTTTAAATATTAATTTTAAGATTTATTAATTTAGTTCAGTTAATTTGATGGAAAACCGACAGTTATAATTTGTGTAAGTAAAGGCAGAAATGAAGCACTATCATTTAACACATACATTAGTCAAAATATGAAGATTAAAGGGTCTTACTGTAATTAATGGAATGAAATGCAGTTTAATGGCATATCAGAAAAAAAATAAAAGCAAATAACATAATCTAGTCTAGGTAAATAATACTACTAAATATATATGAATATGTAAAACAATCAGTTATATATAATATATGTGTGATTCTTGCTATAATAATGATGCTTTCTCTTGGGTTGATAATATTATGCCGAATTTAAATCTTTCTGATTTCAAATTATTTTTTAGTTCTCCAGGTTTGATAGAATATCAAGCAACGTTACCTAGCAATAAATACTCCACACTGTCAACAGATTTCCGACTTAAGTTTGAAGAGATCCAGGAAGATAAGGCATTGACCTTACATGAACTTTTACAGCAATTAGATAGGTTTGTCACCTATTTTTCATGGATTTGTCATATATTTTAATTTTTTTCTTCAAGCACCAAAAAACTTTGTTCATGAGTATTTAGACTATGCATTTTGTGTTTACTTTGGGAATACTAATTAATTAACTTTGGGTTCAGTCCAAATTGTGCTTACCAGTAAGTGCCAATAGTCCTGAATTAAATTTAATTATAAGAGCTATGTTATAACATGACGTAACAATGTCTTACACATATCTATCTTTTCTAATTTGTTTTTCAGAGAAAGGTTAGGAAAATGTCAGAACAAGTTTTCTGCCATGAGACCCAAGAGCAGTATCGTACATCGTGCTTTAGATGAGATGAGAGAAGAGGGAAGTAAACTTATGACACAATCGGCACAACAACTTCGTAAAAAATCATCTTTTAAGGGAAACTGGTATGTAAAATATTTTTCACAATATGTAACTGAGATGAAGCATTTCCTTATTTTGTATTGTGGGGCAATGGCAACATCAAGACTAAATTAAGGTAGTATGGGTCTGTTGCATATGTTATGAAGGAGTCATAATTAAACAAATACACAAATGGTAAAACATCAATATTTTACTTGTCTAGTTATGCTATTATATTTCTTTATTTGCTATACAGTAAGATTATACGAAGAATATATATGTCCTCATTGTCAGGTCGCTTAAAGAAAAAATCATTCACTTTTTAACAAAAGCATGAAAATTGGCATATAGGTATAGTTATTAGAGCGGAACATATAGGTTCTCACCTCAAATATTTAAATAGTCAAAATTTAAACTTCAGCATTCACTGATGAATTCATCAGCAGGGTTTTCGTAATTTGTAATCATATTTCCAAGTTTATTTTCTGAAAACACACAAAAAAATTCCTCGACTTCTGAAAGTTTTTTAGTCGCCTAAAACCTATTGAAATGTCTCAAAATGCAAATTTATTAATTGCACTATGATCGCACAAGCCACCTGTAGTAAGGGAGTTAGAGCTACACGCTGACATGTGTGTCATCTGCCAAAAAGACACAAAAGAAAAACAATGAAATCCAAAATAGAAACTAGTAAATTAGACCAAAATTAAGAACTGTTGTTATCTTGGATATAACTTTTAAGATGTAAAAACCATTATGATTCAACCACTTTTTGACTATTATAATAATCTTTGTCATTTTAAAATAATGGCACATATTGTTATCTATAACTTACAACTGCCTAAATGGATCCTGGTTTCATTAGCCAGGTTGATGCAGAAAAGTAGGACGTTTCATTTTCTATTTGTCATTTGATGTGATGGCAACAACATTTCTTACCTGGGATATTTATACATAGATTACAGTTTCCTTTAGATTCGTTGACCTCAAATGGTATTTAGTTTTAAACTACAATAATTCATAGATTTAAAAGAATACAACTTTCCTACGACTCTGTTTAGGCAGTTTAATTTTAAAATGTCTCTGCTTCAAATTGTTAGCGAGAAAGTAGTAGGAAGGAAGAAGAACTTTCTGGTTACTTAAGTAGAGTTTTTAAACCGTTTTATTTTTAGGAATTAGTAAATTCTTCTTTGAATCCAAAATGAATCAGATCATATCTGAGAACATTAAAAACTACCTGATGCCAATTTTCTTTCCTTTATCAAAAAGTTAACAATTCTATAAAAAAATCTACCTAAGTGACCTGACTATTACTGATAATGCCTCTCATTATAAAGTCACTGTTTACTAGTATTAAACTTCCGAGATCGTAATACATTTCTCGCAGGAGGATGAAAAGAAAATGTATCCTTGTCAAAAACTAATCCTTTTAAGTCACTTTTGCGAGAGGCAGGAATAACTTTCTGTCCCCGACCGTCTTTAATATTTTCCATTAATTTCTCCGTACTGTGTTTGGAGGGCTGATGATTCGACATCAACACTTTAACTGGCCCCAGTTCATTTCCGTAAGAACAATAACAACATCCAGTATTACATGGCATAGAAATTTTACATACGTCCATTTCCGTTGTTGTTGGCGCTTTCACTTTGCTTTCCTTAACACAATTCTTAGTTAAGGTGGGTGAATGTCGAACCTCTCGTTTAGGTAAAGAAGGTGAAAGTGATTTAAAGGTACTTCTCAGTAGCCTATTACACGTTATGGTAGCTGAATTAGGCTCTAAGACAATAGAAGAAGGTTTTTGATCAGCAATATCAATTTCACTATCGCTCTCAGTCTCCTGTGGCTGGTACAAAACAATTTTTGGCATTGTGGAAGTTCTAATTTTCAAACTAATTCTCCAAAGAAATGTTGGTGCTCCACTAGCTACATTGTATAATTCAAATAGTATCCTTCAAATATTCTCCATTTCTGACAGATTTGTTAAAATTATTATAACTTTATAAATATCACCGAGTTAAGTTAGTATCTTTAATACCATGAATTCAACTCTAAAGCAAACACATTCTGTATTTTCCAATGACAAAATTCAACTATTTGTAATATAATCCTTTAAAATAGTTATGTTTCTGTTTCTAGTTATTATTAATAAGAACATTAATCAACAACAGCATCCAATCAATAAACCATCACTATTCACCAACACCCACATATTTCAACAACTTTATTTAATATACGTGTTTGTCTTTTCTCTGCTTTAATTGAATCAAATTATTATGATAAAATGTATCACTTCTTCATCAACTGTTAGCCTTTCAGATTAAAAAAGGATAATATTCACAAAACACACTTTCAAATTATTACAAAAAAAAACCAAGCTCGACAATAATATCTCTTAATTTAGACTTTCCAATTGTGCGATATGTATCCAAAATCTAACTTCAATAATGCTTGTCAGAAATTTTGTATTCCAACACAAATGAATTCAGATGAAGTGTTTATCTGGCTTAAAACAATGAACAATGAAGATTTATAATACTACAAGACACCCCTGTAAAGATTATGCCCACACTTATGTTTAATTATTGTAAATACGAGATGTTCATGACGCCATTTGTCGACAGCAAACACTTATAGCCCTGTTTATGTTTGTATTACTTCTTGACAACCAAACACTTCATAGATATGATAGCCAGGCTAATGTCGAGTTTCAATTCGTCAATAATAATATGATATCTGTATCAAGAAATAATCCATTTCAACACTTGTTAAAAAAATGCTATTGTTATAACTTCAAACTAAACACTGTAGAGAAAATTTGATCCCTGTACACTGTAGAGAGAGATTCCTCATAACTATTTAGTTCGGTTTCCAAATACAAAATTAAACTTTCTTTGGTTCAAAGAAAGTGCTGTTTCTTTAGAGAAAGAGATACCCCTCTTCTGTTCAGAGCAAATTATGCACTTAAAGGTAAGAGTATCTCACTCGACATTGACAACGAACTTAACGAACCTGACAAATAAATGTTCAATCTCTTTCGACTTAGGAGAAATTCAGTAATGTCATTAGCATATTATCGTTATTCTATCTAACGGGCCAGATACCAACAAAGAATATTTCGATCAATTTGTGATAAATATATTAATATCACTCTATTAATCATCAAAACGGAACAGTTGTGATTTAGCCACAAGAGAATATCATTATATCATTGTTCAAGTCGTTATTTATCAACTATTGTTGAAAAGGAAATGGGCACAGTGTATGAGAAACAATCATCAATCAGTACAGTATTAGTCAGGTGATTGCCAATTTGAACAGGAATATTTGTACTATGTATAGCCTTTTATTGATTATCGATAATTTCGATCATATAAATGCAATAAACATCGATTAGATGATTAGATGATCGATTGATAAATTCTTTCATTTTATAGGATTAGGCTACAATTAAATCAATATGTCATTAATAAAAGATATTATAGTAATAGAGCAAGTGCAGAATGTCTGGTTCAGAATTGATAGTATTGTCGGTAAAAAGGATTGTATTGTTAGTAACAAGTTATAATATCAAATTATTACTGGCCACCTTTAGGAAATGAAATGAAATGAAATGGGGTTTAACGTCCTACTGTTCTGCTCCTAAACTGGGCTAATGAAGACAGGCATACGCCATACAGCGTGCTATGAGGGACATTTTGCCCGGGCAGCGGTGCTACGGCCTACTTTTATATCGAATTCCAACTTCCAAGGGATCTTTTACGTGCACGCCAATATGTAAACAAGATCTCGGTTTTTCGTCCCGGGGGGTTGAATGGCCGAATGGTTAGCACGCGCGCGCTGTATCATACGGTCTGTCATTGAGTCAACTGGCGGGGTTTCGATTCCCCGGTTGTACGTGACAAGGAGTAGGGTCGCCTGTCCAACCTCGTGGGTTTTCTCCGGGTCCTCCGGTTTCCTCCCACTGCTAAAGACACCTACGCGCAACGAATTATTGAAATAAAATTAAACCATATGTTAGTCCCGAAATGACCTAGTTTGTGTCGAGTGGACGTTAAACCCCATTTCTCTCTCTCTCTTTTTTCGTACCATCCAAACAACTAGACAGCTGTCCTTGTCAGGTCCTCCGTCCTGCATCACTGACAAGGGGAAACCACGCTGGAAAATCTGGATGAACTTTCTCGGCCAATGCAGGGATTGAACACCCGACCTCCAGGCTAGCGAGCCAGCGTCTTACCCACCTACCCACGTGATCCATGGCCACCTTTAGAAATGTAATCAGTCGCAAATTGGCCTGTTAATGCTTCTTAAATTCATTAATGCAGTCTTAGGTATTTTATTATTTTGATGTTCATGTCAGGTGTTGTAAGAAGTACAGCACATGGTACAGTAAGAGTTGTCATGTCAGGACTAACATATGATATGCCCAGAAAAAATTCACATGGTTTAACAGGTGATCCTACTGATGGTTATATGCAATATGAACACATGACTTGCATAGATAACCGGCCTTATCAATGTTACATGTATAGTGATTGAATATTTAAATTATGTTTCAGGTTTACAGATTTACAAGATTGTATACCTAAAGAACTACGAGAACTATGGTATTACAGTCTTGTCCTTGGCAAACTTGCAAAACATGGTCTGGTAAGTAGCATTTGTTTGGTACTGAAATCTCTGTTATATCAGTTTTAAGTAGGGATGGGTGTCATGCGTTTACATAGATTTTTGCATTATTTTATGATAAACTTAAAACTAAGAAATGCATGTCAGTTAGTTTTAAGTAGTGATGGGTGTCGTACGTGAGACATGGTATGCTAACTTTTTAGGGGACATCTGGTTGCACTTCTCATTTGAGGAGTTCACATAGATTTTTGCATTATTTTATGATAAACTGAAAATTGAGTAATGCATGAAAAAGATAGATAGGGAGTTGGAAAGTACTTGGTGCATGTGATAAACCCTCCATTATTTGACTTATGAAATAGTCTTAACAATTCTTTAAAGGAATTAGTAGTTTAATATATTGTTGGTTTATATATAGTTGATAATAATTCTGCTGTTTTAGGGTAATCATACATCTAGAACATCCTATAGACAAAGTATATTAAAGGTATAAACTACATGAAAAATATACTGATTCACAGCATTTTGTTGTTTGATGCACGGTGTGGTTATAATTGATATAATGTGTTCACAATGTTATGGATGCTTTGTAAATGTAGTTATATTAAGACATATGGTTTGAGCTGGGAAAATTTTGTCTTTCCATGGTATAAATCACCATTTTCAGTACACACAAATTTGTATGATCCCCAAACAGTATAAATCACCATTTTCAGTACACACAAATTTGTATGATCCCCAAACAGTTTTAATTTTTAGTTGCTTATTTTGTGCTATTTTGCAAATAATCAATTAAATTTCCATTTGTTTTCACCACAAGTTTTCTGATATATTACGATTAGTTATTACAAGAAGTTTGATTCAGGCACTGTGTGTTTAATTATTGTTGTAACATGAATTAATTTTTAGTTGCTTATTTTGTGCTATTTTGCAAATAATCAATTAAATTTCCATTTGTTTTCACCACAAGTTTTCTGATATATTACGATTAGTTATTACAAGAAGTTTGATTCAGGCACTGTGTGTTTAATTATTGTTGTAACATGAATTAATTTTTGTGTTTTCAAGCAATCCTTGTCTACCACTAACATATCAACTCTGGAAGCCTAGTAACAAGAATATATTTTGATGCTATAGTTTATGTTTATGTTAATAGGTCATGTGATATCCTACATTTGCATAATATCAAAGATAGTGCTGTGCATAAGATGCTATGTAGAAAGCGTGAAGGACAAATGAGATGCGGCAGTGCACAAATGTAAAATGTAATGAGAGAAATGTAAAATGTTGACATGTCAAAAACAGCATTTTCCCCACAAAACATTTGTCATTTGACACATTACTTTTGAAGTTTTTTATATCTAACTTTGGCCTTAGAAGTATTTCGACTTTATCATTACTAGTATTAGGACTTTATACATTATATTTTTTACATATAATCAATCGAAAGGACCTTTTAGCAGAGCATTGAATATTGGCAGCGATACCCTTCCATACGGACAGGACAAAGAACTTAGGTCCTGTATATAGCATTGGCAGCATGTTAAAGATCCCTGCCTGGACAAAATTTACCTCATAGCACAGAACGTTTTATTTTTTAGATTGAAAGTTCCAGTAAACTGAGTGTTTATCAATTTATTAAAGTACTTGGTGAACTCCGTGATTGGGAAATCTGTAGTCCTGATATTACAGCAGCTATTGAATTTTGTCGAGAAAAAATTGTCGACATGACAGTTGAAGATTTTGAAGAATGGTTTCATCAGCAATTTCCTACCGTATGGAGACCACCAACAGTTATACCAACTAAAACTAAAGATAAAAAGGATCCAGAGTTCCGATCTACACCACAGTCACAAACATCCCGACCTACAACTACAGCAGCAACACCAATAACAATTAATTATTCCACACATTAGTCTTTAGTTAGGGGTCTGGTTTTCTATAATATTTATCATTCTTTCTTGTGATCAATAAAATCTCAGAAAATGGGTTCAGACAAGTGTTGCATACCACTAGGTGATAATTGTACTCCAAATGGCAGTATGTTTAGATTGCAGATGTAGCCACTGAAATAGAAATCATAATGACAAAAGTTTTCTGCTTTATTCTATTTTTTTCTGTAGTTTGAATATGTTTTCTAATCAAATTTTGTTTATTTAGACTGTCGACTGTCAAGGAACTATATTGGGTGGTTCAACATACATGACATACTAAACATTATTTTAATTTTATTGCTAGACAACAAAGCTGCTGGTGAGCATATTAATGGTGTTGGCAACTACATATTTAGCATCTCATAAAAATAACTGTGATATTTTTCTATATGTTGATGATTGATAATGAAATCGACAAAAGCATTCATTCATGATCATTTATTAAAACTTTGAAGATCTCCTTGAATTTTATCGTAGGCCTTCTATTAAAAATTATTATGTTTATGTTCACCTCCTAAACTGATCTGAAATTAATATACATTTATGTACCTCATGTCATTAATTAATCCTTTAAAACGATCTGAAATTAATATTTACATACTTATGCAAATTCCAAAAATATTCTTATTTATTTATGCAATTTCCTTATATAATATTAAGATAATATTCATTTATGTAAATTCTTAAAATGATCTGAAATTTAAACTTATACTTTTAGCCATGTAGATTTTTAAAATGATCTGAAACTAATATTTTTTTTTTTGTACACTATATCACTATTTAATTAATTTTAATTGGACTATATTTTATCATGATCCTCATATAAATAATCTAGAATTATTATTTATTTATCATACCATTTATTTTTTCATAAAATGATCTGAAATTCATATTTCATTATGTACAGATATTATATTTTTCAATTTCATGTTATTATCAGTTTTACTTATACAAAAAAAATAGATATACACAGTATCTGTAAAAATTTTATTATATTGTTATATTTCTATTATTTTGTAAAATATAATTTGTTGGGAATTAAATTATATTATTATAGCTATATTTTTAAAAATCTGACTGGTTCTCTCTTTTTTTAAATTAGTGGGTATGATTTGTATGAATTAATGGGTATCTTTGAAAATTATATGGTGTGCTAGGGGTGGCATTCTCCAAAGTACACATAATGTTTATTAATCAAATCTAAATTTTACACATGTATATTATTATTAATATATGCAATTGTTAGTTATTATTATATATAATAAAAAGACTAAATTCATAGTTAATAAGTGTCATTTTCTTTAGTTTAAAGTAAAGGTGCCTGGGTTATTGATTAGGATGGGTGTTGCTTGTACAATTCACAAGATATGTGCCAAAATCTATTGAAAGGAGGAGGGTTGGATGGCCGAATGGTTAACGCGTGCACGTTGTATCATAAGGTTTGTCATTGAGTCAACCGGTGTGGTTTTGATTCCCTGGTTGTACGTGACAATGAGTAGGGTCGCCTGTCCAACCTTGTGTGATTTCTCCAGGTCCTCCGGTTTCCTGCTACTGCTAAAGACCCCTATGCGCAAGCGAATTATTGAAATAAAATTGAACCATATGTTAGTCCCAAAATGATCTGGTTTGTGTCAAGTGGATGTTAAACCCCATTTCTCTCTTTCTATTGAAATGAAGTGAATATATTGGTGTTTGATGACAGGTCAGCACCAGCCAGTTATATTGTCATGGTGATCTCTACCAAAATCTATCGGATTTTGAGCAAGTTAGAAAGAACAAGTGAGAGGCATTGAAGATCACTAACCAAGTGGTTCTTTTTGATAGAAATTATTGATAAATTTGGTTTAATTACATGTCTTTAAAGAAAGCCAAAATGTAAAAGTGTCACAGCTAGAAGGGTTCGTGTATATATAAATCGATATAAAATCAAAGTAAAACTTAGTCAAAAGTGTGAAATTTAAATTTCGAATAAGAAATGATCACTTTATATAAAAAAAACTTTGGTTTGGAAAGAAAATGGCATAAGTAGTAATCAGATGTTCTTGAACATATTTGGTCCAAACTTAAGCTTGGTTTAACCATAAGAGGAGGTGACGTGCACGAGGCATAATATTTCTACAACTAGTTTTACGAGCGACTTGATATGATATGCTTTGGACTTGTGATGGTCTTCTATCTGTAGCAAATGTGAAATTTACTGCGTAACATTGCAGAACAATTTCTTCACAATGGTTGAAAGTACGTTTTTGACGATGCTTGGTCCAAAAAAGAATTAACCGCCAAATTGTCTAATACGTGCGATTTCACATAATAAACGCCACTGATATTTATTAAAATTGAAATTTTTATTTTCCTTCCAGTGTGCCATGATGCCGACGCTCTTGGCGAATGTCAATTGTCAACTATTTCCAATTGAAGAATTTATACTTTCGTGGATCTGGACTCCAGTTACAAACTCTGGGAACAAACAGACTGGGGTCTGGATTCACTCAGACTTGGTTTGGTTTGCAGACTTTGCATCAGATCAGTTAAAACAAAAAAAAGTCTTTAGTCACGAGCATTTATTTTAAGCCTCGGTCTTAGTTACCAGAACAGTTCGTTCTTCTCGTTGACTACTAGTATTACTGTCTTATCAGATATAGATTTAGGTTACACAGATAAGGACAGTAAGTTTTACATCGTAAAAGACGAAAGATGTCGCTAACGTCTATCCTCTGCATGACAATTACTCTCATAGTGGGGGCTACCTTGGCCAAACCTTCCGACCCTCAACCTGTTCGGACATATAATATTGATCTTGATGCACCAGCGGAGATCAGATGGTCTCAAGTATTAACAGATTATCAATATATGGTACCTAATATTCTACAAGACGTCAGGTAACGTACATTCTTTACAAAGACTAATACACGCAATTAATCTCGAGATTTTAAATTAAAGCCATATAATCGTGTTTACATTATTATAAGAATTTCAAGCCCGGTCTTCACATGTCAAGGGCAAGTGGTTCTAGTCGTTCGGATAGGACAAGTATACACATTGACGTGCTCGTTGGAAATCGAGGAAGAGTCGGCTGAAACGTCGCTGTACGGACAAAATTCATATAGCTGGCATTGCACAGATAACCATATACAACCATATGTTCGACTACAAATGGATGGTGAGTTGACGAGACGTTAAAAATATCCATTCCGTTATCTTTAATTAAATAATTGTTATTATTAATATGCATGTTTATATTTCAGATCATTAATACCTGTGGATTATATTCCTCTGGTAGAGAAAATAGCTGATGATATAGAGACATATATATCACAGCCATTCGCTGGTGAATTGAAAGGTTCTTAAAGTTTTTAAATTATACTATTAAATTGTTAGTTGGCAGCCACAGACAAATTTAAAAATCGAATTAAATACACTACTGGTTAATTATGTGTTACAATTAAAGCTATAGCTAAAACCTTTAATATAGTTCTATGTTATTTTATATTATATTACAGCTATAGCTAAATCCGAGATATCGATCTATGTTATAATATTGTATTACAGCTATAGCTAAAATCTGGGATATCGATCTATGTTATATTATTAACGTTACAGCTATAGCTAAAATCTGGGAATTAATTCTATGTTTTTTAAAAATGTAATATTACATCTATAGATAAAACCTGGGATATATGTTATATTATTTTATTACAACTAAATATAACTTATACCTAGGAAATATATTGTATCTATAGATAACAGCTAGGATATAGATCTATGTTATAATATTACGTTACAGCTAAAATTGCGATATAGATCTATGTTATAATAATATTACAATTATAGCTAAAACCAGGGATATGGATATGTGTTTTAATATTGTGTTACAGCTGTAGATAAAACCTGGGAATTATATTTAGTTATATGGAATAGATCTAGCTGAAATATCAAAAGTCTGTTATATGGGTCTCACTATGTTATATTACAGTTAAATAAAAAATCTGGGAAATAAATCTAACTATGTTATAACATTATATTACAGCTATAGCTAAAATCTGGGATATAGATCTGGGGGAAATAGTTCTTCTAAATATTATATATGATGTCACAGCGTAAGCATAAAATGATTTTCTATTTCTTAAAAAAAGTTACTCTTCTTGGAAGTGGGCATTTCCTTGCTCATCTTCCTTTGATTAATTCATTTTTCTAGATGCTTGTTTCAAATAAATATCAAGCATACTCTGTCTTTCGTAAAACATACTGCAAATATTTGTAACTATAAAACGACTGAACCCCGATTATTAATATTTCAAGAAGAGGAATTGTCTCGAGTTGAAATAGTGTTGATTTAACAGTAGCAGTTTGTTCCTGGATTGTATTTACTCATAATGAGTCATAACCGGAAAACGTGCTGCATATCCAATTCCGTTGACATGTGTTTTCAATTAGTATTATTGCTTTTCCAATGCTTTATCTGGGATTATACACCTGGTCGTATTTGTTATTCTGTTTTCCCTGTGGTATGGCCACGGAGATGGAGTTCGTTCCGTAATTCATTCAAAATTGAATAGAAATCTAAAGAGGATCTATAAAGAGTTTTGTGTTAACATTTAATTGTAATAACATAAGCCGATTAAAAAAAAAGATACATCAATAACGCCAAATACACGAATAAGGCAGACTGACTTTTTTAGTCATGTTGGTATTGTATTGGAGTAGCTTTTATTCTGGAGAATTTAGGGATCGGTTCAGGAAGCCGTAAACTTCATTTCCCGTAGATCATGTTATCTTCGACTGATTTAACAAACATTTTTATTTCGCATAATGTTACCAACCATGAGTAATACCTATTTCCAAAAATGTACTTTATTTTCCCTAGCACATCCTCCTCCCCACTGATGTCAGCCTGGCACACTGGCGAATATATTTCCACAAAAAAGAAAATATATTTCTAGATATTATGGATAACCGATCCTAAAACATACGAATCATACCATAAGATACACATATTCTCGAAAGTGGGCCTTTTATTATGTCCATATGATGGAGGTTATAAATTTACCTAATATGGTAGAATCGGGTTGCCGTTTACCTTCTTAGAGGCGGATTTATTTCGTTATCATTATCCCCTTCTAGGCGGCAATAATATAGTATATATATGCACAGGTTTTGTACCAGTATAGTAGCTCAAGATGGTAATGGTACAATATGGCATGCTAGAAACTTGGATTATTATTATGGTGATCTTCTCAGAAACCTGACTATTATGGTCAACTTTCAACGACAGGGAAAGGTAAATGACAAGTTTATTGAACAAAATTTACTAATCGCTTGCCAGGTCGAATGTATAATGTATGTCATGTAAAACATAAATTTTGTAATGAATACACATCAGCTATCACTGATTAACGAAATGAAGGTCATCGATACAGGTGTTCGATTTCATACTTGTATGTGACAATGAATGTGGTTTTTTTCTTTTACATAGCTCAAGTTCATCTTGTTGATACGCTACTGTAAATGACACCAATAATTTCATCAGGTCCATTGCGACAACACAATCAGCTTCAACAGAAACGTAAAGGCACAATATGATTTAAAACAGCATCATTGCTGATTTTAAATTCTCAAACAATGCTTTTTGAGATTTTATACCTTCTTTTTTGGCCCACAAATAATCACGAAATTTTCTTTTGTCGTCATTTAAATTCCGTGTGTGCCTTTATGGAATGTATTGTCCAGTGAGTAGTGCGGTAGCCCGGGACCGATTGCTCAAAACTCAGTTATTTTGCTAATGTGTCGTTTGTGAACGGTCCGTTAGATTTCTGTTGCTAGAAAGTGAATTTCATTATCCGTTAGCTAACGGACTGATTAAAGTTATTCCCAAACATTTGAAGAAAGTGGGACAACTGTGCAGTCTGTTCACAAAACTTGATTAAAGACAAAAGGATAACTGTAGAATTTCATACTGAAAACACTATAAACAAATTAGAGAATACTATAGTATTTTTCTATAGAAATTTTAGCATAAATTTGTAGGAAAAATATAGGATTTGCACTACAGAAACTGTATAGAATATTTGGAGCCGTTATATCCGAAAGGCCCCCCAAATTCTGTAGAATACTATAGAATTTTATCCTATAGAAAATGGGATAGCCCCCATCCAACCCTCTAGAATGTTTTATAAAACTACACTGGTAAATGACTTTTTCTTAGGGGTATATTTGGAATGACAGCCGACTAATGCCATCGTTAAAGTTAACGGAGATTCCGGCAACAGACTTTCTCTACGTTAAAGATAAGGATCCGTTAACTCCATAACGCAGCTCAACACCTTCGTTAAATATAAAGAAAGTTAACGGAGCTTCCAGAAACAGGCTTTCTCTCCGTTAAAGTTAAGGATCCGTTAACTCCATGTTAACGAGTTGTTATAAGTTAACTGAGCTTTGAACAACCGCCCCATATTCATTAACCTGTAAGTGGCTACAACAGTACATATTATTATAAGACATAATTTTTTTTTTGTAAATCAACACTTTTTATGAGAAAAGTTTCTCCGCCGTGTGCTTTATCCTTTATCGTCTGATGTGAGACAGGATGGGCACTCAAAGCACGAGATAATGATATAGACATTATGTGATATCACAATTAATGCTTTGCATCCATGAAATTGAATCACAATGTCATTGTATTAATTCATAATAAAAATTGACGTCAAACGAGATGTTGAATTTCTCTGTTTAAAAAGCTCAATGTGTATGTATATACGCCAAAATGACGATAGAGACCAAGCGGGAGGGGGGGGGATACATTGTCTCAGGAACCTGCCCCCCCCCCCTGCAAAAATTTCCGCCCCTGACAATTCTATAGAATACAATTACTGTTTATTACGGAGCGACGTTTCGACTAGACTTCTCTGGTCTTTAGAATTGTGACCGGCGTATGTCAAGTTCGATTACTAAATGCCATTGAAACAATACATCAGTTTTGGTTTTTTTTCTAGACGGTGTATACAGCAACGACCTATGCTGGTTATGTTGGTATTGTATCTGGACAGAGACCTGATGCATTTACTGTAACAGTTAATCAAAGAGGACACCACGGTAAGGTTTTCTAGACCTGATTCTATTATCTCTTTCTCACCCCAACAATAGTATCCAAGATTTATATGGGACATTACCTTCATGCATATTTGAATGGTACTTTATTGTGGGGTACCCATCTTCTCTCTGTCTACTATAAGCCAGTTTAGAGGCGTATTCATGAAGCATTGGTTACGAGCTGATAATGCTCGTCGGCATTACTTCGGGAATATAAAGCACAATGTAAATAAAAATGTTCTTGTCGAAAGAATAATAAAGACGTGGACTACCAATCAATATGACCACCAAAAGAGAATCATTTACCGGATATCATTGGTTTCTCTTTTAATAGATATGAAATTACAAAATATTACCTTCTATTTTTTCAGTTCATGTGGGCTACTGGTGGCAAAATATTCTAATCGCCATTGTTGACAAAAATTCACATTTTGTGAGTTTCTTAGTTCGACAAGTAAGTAAAAGTATTTAACGTATTCGACCATTAGTATGTAAATATAACGTATGTAAAATTATTTAGTGTATTCGCCAAGTACATAAACCATTTAACCTATTCAACAAGTAAATAAAACTATAGTTAGCGTATTCGACATGTACGAAAACCTGTTAACGTAAAACTACTTAAAATTATTTAACCTATCCAACGAATATGTCAATCCATTTAACGAGTTTGACAAGTATTCGGTAAAATCATTAACGTTTTCCACATGTAAAACCATTAACGTAAAACCACTATCCGGGCGTTTAAAACATTTGTAGACATCAATATGACATATCATCATTATCAGCAGACGAAGTGGAGTTAGTACGAATGAAACTTATTATTTTTAGATCATAATGCCAAACTGTTATACTCAATAACAAAATATAAACATAACAAAAGAAAAATATCACAATCTACATAATTTAGTGTCACTTCACATGAAACAAAAATAATCAGAAATGCAATAAAAAAAAACCCGAAACATATAAATTTTGCAACTTCTAAATCGATTTAGTTTAATGGATTGGCACTGAATGAATCAATGAAATAATTTCGGAATATAATTATATTTTAGGTTTTAGAGAATAGTACAACATATAGTGATGCTGTTGATCAACTTTCAACACAAGTTATACACGCCCCTGTTTATTATATTGTAGGAGGTAAGACAAGACTCTCATATTTTATCCGTTTAAAGGACCACTAGTAGATAAAAAAATGAAATGAAATGGAGTCAAAGTCCTACTTTTCTGCTCCACCCGGGATAATGAAGACGGGTACAAAGTATCAGGGAAATTATGCCCAGACAGCGGCACTACAGCAAATCTTGTGTCGAAGTGTTCTTGTACGTACACGCCAGTGTGTACGCGAGACCTCGGATTTTTTGTTCCATTCTATTTCTCGAGAAGATAAGAGAAAGCAAACGTCGCTCTAGTACTAACTTGTCACTTTTGACCCACATGAATATCGTAATATAAAACATTCTATATCTTCGACTAAAGCTAAGTATGTCTTTTGTGTCTAAAGTTTATTACGTTTATCTTAGTAATGATGGAATCGTTAGATTCAGGGGCAAATAACTCGTTTAAAAGCGAGTCTTTATCAGTAGATATTCAATGGATATAGAAAAGTGAGAAACACACTGCCAAGGTTGGATCAAAGTCTACGGCCCTTCATTCCGCCATCCAGTCGCAATGCGCACCAATTCCCACTTATTAGAGACTGGATATTTTTGAAATTAGAGAGTCTTCACCTTCCATCGAACACTCTACTGGATCTTTTGATAAACATGCGCCATCAACATCTTCGTCTAAAATAATATCTTCCGAAGACAAATAATATTTGAAAACTTTCGTAAACACGTTATCATTGAAAGAAAGTCTTAATTAACTCCGCACATGTTTGTTTATTAATTGCGACAAAATATGTGACTGTCTTTACTTTGACGATGGCCTTTGTGACCATGCCATTTGTAGTCGTTCCTTCTTTTCCCTGAAACTGATAACGTGCATATTTCTTTAATGTTGTTTCTCTGAAAAATCCAATTCTTATTATAGATGCATTATGTAAAAGTTAAATCTGCCTAATGCAGATCTTTCGTTTGGCTTCAACTATTATATAAATCATTGATTAGACATGCCAAGCCCATAATCAACTCTCTGGTGTTTAGAACATCGTGCGGTATTGATTTACAACAGATTTAAACACGCTTGGTTGTTAATAATTTAATTTTAAAAATGACAATCGTAACCACAGTGGCAATGACAATCGGTACAGTGTCTACTGACTCACTCCGACCAATATGAAACCCGTCCAGCACCGATTCTGTTAAATCAGCCAAAATCGAAACTCTAACCATCCGCACCAAAACATAAATTTATAACCCATAGAGTACAACCACCCGCTCCACCCACACTCACGCAATTGACCATCTAAAACAGCAACTGTATTCGAAAACCAGTCAGTTAATTGCAACCAAAACCGAACACTCAAGTTGCTCCTGGTAAGTCACAGGACTACTAAAGCAGTTGCCAGAATGGTGTTGACCTTTATAAAAAGTAACTTTACAAAATGCATATAAAAAGACCATCAATCTTAGAGACCATTCTGGTTGAGGGTCAATATGAATAAATAGATTTGTCATATATTTTAATCTTTGACAAGTCTGAAACGCCCGTGTGTGTTATAGAAAATTGGCTGTGATTAGAGATCAAGGTCTATCTTCATTCCCAGCTAACAATAAACTCTTTTAATTATACTATTCAAAAAAAGTAGGGGATATTTGATTTTTAAGTGTTATTAAAGTCACCTAATGAAACTGACGAAGAAACAAATGACAAAATGAAATGAAGTTCACATTCATCGATTTATTCCAAATGATCGTTAGACTAAGTAAGGCACAGACTGACCATTATAATAGTCTGGTCGGGGTAGAAAATTTGCGGGAAGAAATTCCTACCCAAATGATTTCTTCATTTTCTGAAACAACTATGTCCCTAGTGTTCCAGAAAAATTTTCCCCGCCGATCGGAGTTGAGCAAATTTTTTTTACAGCATTTTGAAATTTTGACACCCTGGGTCAACATAATGAAACTGAAAACCATTTATAACTTCAAAAATATCAATTTTACAGCCTAGAAATATATTATCAACATAGGAAAGTGATACCAAGGAATCCAGAAATGACGTCAATAGTAATGTACGACGTCACCGTGACGTCAGAATACAAAATGGCGGAACTATGACGCCACTGTGATGTCAAAATTCAAAATGGCGGAGACGTGTTGTGAATAAAGCAAGCAAATAGACAAGAGGAATAAAATATTCATTCGGATCATTTGTTCTACCCCTCCCCGTGGCATCCTCCACACGCTTCAACACATTTCAAACCATTCTGTGTACAAGAACATGACGAGCATTGTTGTTTCAACGATTTACATTTACACCAGATGAAATTCAGAACGTTGTCTGGTGCTGATGGAAGAACAGTCGCGATGGGAACGTATCTATTCTCTATCACTTGCCAACCCCAATTCACAGGATCGACGCCATCGTCTAGTTCATCCCAAATTCTAACCTGAACATGAATGCGGTGAGCATGTTGCTCGGCCGCAGCAGCTGTTGAGTGAAGTCTATTGATTTGAATGGAAATGTTTTCAGCGATCATAGCTTTGTACCTTAGGTACCGGACTTTAGTCGGAGATATCTCATTTTTGTGACCATACATTGACATTGCACAGAATAACCTTTCCCCAGCTTCAGATACTTCGAACTGGGAACTTCCAGGTGAAGCTATTGTCTTGCTAGCTTCCTGAAAGATGTCACTGTTCGTATGTTTAAGAAGTCCCAATTTACCGAATCCGAAACAACCAGATTTCCCTCACCAAATTGTCGTATTTGGTTCATAGCTGTCGAACACGACTATTGGCGAGGGAAATCTTTTTACAAATGACCGATAGTTTTCTAAGATGTTGGAGATATTCGTACCCTTATTCCACCTTACAAAGTTGATTAGCAGACCTCCATCAATGACAGTTATTTCACTGGCGAGCGAAGTGTTCGAAACGGGTGAAACGTTCTTGAGCAAATGCTCAGCGAGATCGGACTTGGTTACATGTCGCATGAAAGCTCCTGCAAACAGTGAGGACGGGAAGGCACTCAACTCATATTTGAAGAACTGTTGAATATGTGCTACCGTAATACATCTTTGGAAAAGAACTTCTGGTTGCACTCGCACTGTCGTGCCTTGAACTTTAACACCTGGCTTCAGGTCCCACGCCAATCGTCGTGTTCAGCGTCTATGAACCAAATATTAAGGATCATGAGCACGAGCGCCGAGCTGCTACGTCTAAATATAGGAGCAGTGACATTTCTCTGAAATCGGACACCACAGTTATCTATCGTCAAGCCCAGTTTCTGGCCAACACTGAAAACAAAATCCGTCTAATCAATCAAGTGGTCAACGATCTTGAATTTTGACATCACAGTGACGTCATAGTTCCGCCATTTTTTATTCTGACGTCACGGTGACGTCGTACGCAAAGCCCTGTATAGGGAAAGTTACGACAACTCATTTACAGGCGCCATTTTGGTGTCCCAACTATAACGCCATAAAAACTATGACGTCATGGCGTCATATAGCTTTACTTAACAAAACGTTTTATTTTTTTCTTGGTATAACGTTTTACGGGCTACAGTTCATCATAAACAAATTGCAAAAGTAACCAATGCAGTTTGGTTCAATGATAAATATGTCAGACGAAATCATACTCAAATTCGGCCAAAATGACATGATTAACAGAATTCAATTTGGTGTTCTTCAGGAATTTTCGGAGAGTGGTTATGCAAGCGAAATGTGTGGAAAAATCGAATTTGACAAACATCAATAAAAAAAATGTATTTGTCATTTGGTGGCGGGCATTTCTTTCAATATGACTGCCAAATTTGGTAAAAGAATATCATTTTAAAAAATAAAAATTAAAATGAAAAAAACAACATTAATTTGGTAATAAAAGGGCAGCGATAATTCATTTTAGGTACATTGAAATGTTGGCAATAAAGATAATATCATAGTTTTTAGTTACACATTGTTTACCAACCACCCATAGATCCTTTAATGACAATAAATCATATCCTTTATTCAGCTCGACGCTATACCGGTATTTAAAATGATTGGATGCAGTTCGTTTAACTTGAATGTAGATATTATATATCTATGTTGCATATATAGGACTTTTCGGTTGAATCATATCTTAGAAGTATCTTATTTCATAGTTTTACATATTTGTCGACATTATAAAGGTATACTTGTTCTATTGTTTCATTTAGCCTATGCGTTTTCTTGTTTCACTTGACTAAACAACTAAACACAAAATTTTGTAGGAATATAGGCTTTTATAGATTGAAAAAAAAAGCTGATAAAAATTGAGATGTGTGGAACATGTTCGAGGCGATTTGTAACAAATCTCAGACGCGATATATATTTGATACTAGTTGAGCATCAGAACAACATGATTATTTCATTGGAAATGGGGCGCAAATAGCCAAAAGAGTCCTTCACTGGGCCCCTTCAATATCTGTCTACCTGTGGAATGACATGTACATTATATGTATCTGTTAAATTTTTGCGGTTTATATATTAGATTATTATTATTATTTACCCATGGGCGGGGAGTGATAACGTCTTACCCCAAACAAATTGCAAAAGAAACCAGAAAGTTTCGGAGAGCGATATCTCGTATCAAATTTCACTGATGAAACATATGCCCGAAACACATGTCACGCTAGACACCTTTTATTTGAATTACACTGATTTTACACTGATTTTAAGTTACACTGATTTTAAATGTTTTATCCATTAGTCAATTTAAAGAAATTTCTATTTTCGAAAAATTGATGATACAATTAATGATTGATGACTGAAAACTGACACACAATCCGGAATGACTCCAGACCAAAAATCATGGAATTTCAGGCATTTATTTTGCCGGCTAGAAGGCAAAAAGGTTGTATCTCCCAAATTACTATTTAAATTTTCATTTTTCACTTTACCCGTCTGCACAAAAAATCTGATTTTTAAAAGCGTATGCAATTTAATTGCACTTTTATTTGGTGTATCTTTTATTTCACTTTCTTATGAATTAGACTATTCTTATAACAATAATGTGCGCTTTCTGTATAATAATAATAATAATAATAATAGTTTGTTCAGCTATACTTTTCGTTTAAAAAATGTATTCTGACATATCTATATACATACTTGTCGGGGGAAGCCAACTTCGACACAACAATAAAATAGATAGTAGGTACAAATACTTGGGACCCAAGATGGCGTCTAACTACACTTGAGGTCATATTTTCATGACGTCATATGAAATTTCTGGCTTCACAATTGTCGCAACTTTATCTATAATATTATACGGCTTTGGTCGTACGTTACTTTTGACGTCATTTCTGGATTCCTTGGTATCACTTTCCTTTATGTTGATAATACATTTCTAGACTGTAAAATTGATATTTTTGAAGTTATAAATGGTTTTCATTTTCATTATGTTGACCCAGGGGGTGAAAAGTTCAAAGTGCTGTAAAAAATTTTGCTCAAGTCCGATCCGCGGGGAAAATTTTTCTGGAACACTAGGGAAATAGTTGTTTCAGAAAATGAAGAAATCATTTGGGTAGGAATTTTTTCCCACAAAGCTGGATTTGTCACCTTCTCCAACCAGCCTATAAGGGTAAAATGATACCCGGGGTCAAACAGCAAAGTTACCACAGCATCACAACCAAGTCAGTAACGGGTAAATCCTCCTCTGTTTGCCAAACAAGCATTGATAATAATAATAATAATAGTTTGTTCAGCTATACTTTTCGTTTAAAAAATGTATTCTGACATATCTATATACATACTTGTCGGGGGAAGCCAACTTCGACACAACAATAAAATAGATAGTAGGTACAAATACTTGGGACCCAAGATGGCGTCTAACTACACTTGAGGTCATATTTTCATGACGTCATATGAAATTTCTGGCTTCACAATTGTCGCAACTTTATCTATAATATTATACGGCTTTGGTCGTACGTTACTTTTGACGTCATTTCTGGATTCCTTGGTATCACTTTCCTTTATGTTGATAATACATTTCTAGACTGTAAAATTGATATTTTTGAAGTTATAAATGGTTTTCATTTTCATTATGTTGACCCAGGGGGTGAAAAGTTCAAAGTGCTGTAAAAAATTTTGCTCAAGTCCGATCCGCGGGGAAAATTTTTCTGGAACACTAGGGAAATAGTTGTTTCAGAAAATGAAGAAATCATTTGGGTAGGAATTTTTTCCCACAAAGCTGGATTTGTCACCTTCTCCAACCAGCCTATAAGGGTAAAATGATACCCGGGGTCAAACAGCAAAGTTACCACAGCATCACAACCAAGTCAGTAACGGGTAAATCCTCCTCTGTTTGCCAAACAAGCATTGATCCGACGTGGCATACTCCTAATGAGACGTCTAAGGTCATTTTGGTCCAGATTGTCCCATTCCTGTTGCAACGCAGCAGCAAGTTCTTGGACATTGGCAGGACGTTGTTGACGTTGACGTAACCTCTGTCCAAGCATGTCCCAGACATGCTCGATGGGGGAGTGGTCGGGACTCAGTGGTGGCCAAGGTAATGTGGTGATGTTCTGTTGTTGGAGGAAACCTGTAACGATCCTGGCCCTGTGACATCTTGCGTTGTCATCCTGGAAGATGAAACGGCGGCCATGACGTCGTGCGAACGGCACAACATGGACTGCCAAGATGTTGTCCCGGTAGTACTGGCCTGTAACACGCCCTGCAACAACATGTAAAGCCGTTCTTCCAGCAACAGTGATGCCTCCCCACACCATAACTGAACCACCCCCAAATCGATCATGTCTGATGACGTTAACGTCTTGGAAGCGCTCGTTTCGACGACGCCACACCCTCCTACGTCTGTCCAAAAAATCAACAGTGAACCTTGACTCATCTGAAAACATCACATTGCTCCAGCGTCGATTATCCCAGTGTTGACGATCCCTACACCAACGACGTCTTGCCTGAATGTGATGATCTCTCAAACAAGGGATCACGCGAGGACGTCGGGCGCGAAGGTGACCCCTATGCAGTCGATTCCGAATCGTCTGGCCACTCACTCTCACACCAGTGTCTGTTTGAAGACGAGTGCTGATCTGATTTGCTGTGATGACACGATTTCTCAAGGCCAAGGTACGGGTAAATCGATCCTGGGCTTGAGTTGTCGCCCTTGGTCGACCTGAGCGTGGTCTGTCCTGTACAGATTGTGTATCACGGTATCTGGACCATAGCCTGCTTATGACAGACTGAGAAACATTCATCGTCCGCGCCACAACCGCCTGTGTTGTGCCGATCTGTAGCATGCCAAGGGCACGTAACCTTTGATTTTGGGTAAGCCGACGCATATCAAAATTTGTTTTCTGGTCACTAAAACAATTAAACTGATGTTTCCACCCTGGAATTCAATGCCACAATGACTGTAACATTCAAAGTCAGAGTCGTGCAAATCTTGGGTTGGACCCCCATGATGATCCCAAGCATCACCTGCATTCCATGCGGTAGCTATTGGTGCGTTTGGGCGTCACATGTAACTGGAAATGTTTCTTCTGTTAGGTTCTATAGTGACTTTTTTCGTAGTCATTTGCATATTTTAGTATTATGCCCCCAAAATCAAATATCCCCTACTTTTTTTGAATAGTATATATTCCAATAACGACTTGGTTCTATTTTATTCTATTTCTAGGTATAAATCCAGGAGAGGGTGTGGTCATAACCAGAAATCGTTTCGCATGGGACGACAAATTATACCTTAACTTGCCTTACGGAGTGTAAGTGTATTACTATCGCTTTACGTTAAAACTCATTATCATCTTTGATATCCGATAAACACAAACTATAATACTTGAAGGCCAGCCTCTGACTGCAAATCCGATAGCAACCACCTATATTATTGGCGCACAGGCTCTGTCACTCATTGTTGATTGCTCAGCATGTTTGGGGATTTACGTCTGCTTCCATTCGCTGGAGATTCGGTGCTGCCGTGCCAAACACGTCGTCATCCAAATGGCACTATGCATGGCCGAGGGGGAGGTAAAACTAGATTTACTCTCACCATTTTCACACGATGTTTACTTGTGGATCCATTCCGTTATGGCTGATAAAGCTGACATCGACTCGCCCCAAAGTAGAGCAGTAGGTGGGGCCCCAGTAAGATTTCTATAGAAGCCCCTTGTTATTACAGTATTTACATAAAAGTATGATCAAGTTAAATTACTGACCCGATTGATATTCCATTTATAATTTAATAAATACACAGTCCAATACACCAATCTTTTATTGTAAAATATATAACGTTCAAATAGAAATATGCATAAATCGAGCCTCAATTGCATGAAATTACGTAAGTGGTTTGAAAGTTGGATTGCATTTATCAGAGGCCTGTGCAAGGCACTGGAGATATCGCCGTGCTGAGAGTGCTCCATGTTCCCACTTGCCCCTTTTCTCTCATTAAAGATCATTGTTGAAAAAATAAATTATGTTATATTTAAACAGATGGTATGTATTAGAAACCAATTATGATAATTGGTCAAGTCCTCCTCCTTATGACAGCCAGAGAAGGTGAGTGAACAATACATTGAACTGGTATAGCCAATCATGTTCAGCAACTATATTGACGCCTAAAAGAAAGTATACCAAGACTGTAAGAGAACTAAAGAAAGAATGGTGTTTATAGCACGTCAGCACCAACCGGGATATATTGCGCTAATAATTTTGTAATTAATACCAAAACGAACTGCAGTTGCGATAATACAATTGAAAATTAATATCCTGAACAAAAAATAAAAGTTAAGAAAATAGATCATAAGGTCTGTCATTGTGTGGTTTCGATCCCAATTTGTACGTGATAATGTGTAGGGTCGTCTCCCCAACTTCATAACAGGTTCCATCCACTGCTGAAATAAAATTATACCATAGGAAAGTCCCGAAATGACATTCTCTTTGTCGAGTGGAACACCTCTAAAATTAAAATCAAAATGATTTTGAGATACTTAAAACATTTTATCAAACCATGTATCATTTACGGTATTCATTTTATTCTTCTTACAGCATAGACACCTGATCTAAATCCTTTAGAAACTGCCGAAGGAACTGGCTGTGCTCAAAATATGGCTGGAGCTGAAAGTCGCAGTTCATTTAATATTTTGTTAATGTTACTTTATTTTACAGAGCTGTTGCTAAAGCTTCCATGAATAAGCTGGGGTCAGACGGAGTAAATAAAGACAGTTTATATCAAGTTGTATCTACAAAACCGGTCATGAACATGTAAGTAACATAGTGCATATGGGCCCCGACGGTTAATCTTGACTACTAGCATTCAGGTAAAATGAACACCGATATATAGTTCATGTTTAGCTGAACACTGATGGTAAAATCTGAACCAATATCGTTCATGTGTATTTGGACACCGACAGTGGACATGCGAAATCTAGAGGAAAAATTCTCATCGTAACAGAGTTATTATCGACGTGTTAACTGGGATCCCCCGCCTGTACAGAAGGCTCCTTATTCCGCTCTCCAGAAATAACATCAAGCAAAATGCTGTTTTGAAAACCAATAGCAAACATAAGATATAGAATTCGTTTGTTCTGAGCATATTGTGGTCCTAGATTATATTTATTGCTCCTTATTTTTTGAGTATGTTTAATAGTCAATCAAGGCACAGCACGACAGATCGTTAAAGGCACAACAATCGAGATCGTTCACATCTCAAAAGTCAACCATCGGTACTATTGTACTGTAAATAGGCTCATCCGAGTACAAAATGTCTGACTTGAATGAAAAGGATAGGCGAATTTTTATCATTAAGATATACATGTAATTTAGCCATTTGGATAATGTTTTAACAATATGTTTGTTAAGAAATATACTTGTTTATGTTATTAATCTTTATATTTAACCTTCATTCTGGAATGCTGTTTCTTAACTCTTTTATTAGGAATACAACGTATTCGATCGTGTTTAGTGCTTCTCAACCGGAAGTATACACCAGCTGGGTACGATGGCCTTAAAAGACAACATCGACAGTCCATAACGAAACTACTTAAATGACCATTAAAAATTAAAATATTCAATTATTGTCATATCTGTATCTGAAAGTGTAATATGCCCAATGATATAAATTAATTAATTTTATGTCATATTAAACATAACCTACACTATTTTAGAAATGCTCCCTTATCCATGATGGGCGTTTTTGGGCTGCTTGCATCGATTTAAGCATCAACCAACAATGAGCAGAATCTTGTGTTAAGAAACTAAAATCCCAGCATTATTACTTCTTAGCTGTGGAGGGAAGCTACTATAAAATGTTCGTGTTTTAATTTCTTCTACGGACGAGATAGATAAGAATTATATAATATTCCATACTACTGAATAAACCAATCGTTACTGACTAACCCAAATGTTTAAACTTTCACAATAAATATATGGCCTTGTAAATAATTCGGATACATTAGTTAGTAGACTACTTGCTCCCCAACTTTGATTTGAAATCGCAATTCGATTTCTGATGTAAAGCTACAACTTATCAAATACTATATTTATGTTCATGTCTCATCCGACATATTAAGAGTTCTTCCAATCCTGTATTCAAAGATAAAGTGATGCCTTGCGATTTGTATTTATCCTCTGACCAGATTTGCACAAAACATGCAAGTTACAAACCATACAACCTATATTTATCAGAAATTGCAACAGAGGCGGATCAGGGTTCCGATGGACGGACCGCAGGCAGCTCGGCCAGATGTACGGTCTCCGAAACTAGATCGCTGTAAACGAAATATCCTGTTGGTGTATAGAAATATTGATAAACAGAAGTCAGTGAAAGCAACCCAATTATTTCCTATCCTGGATTCTTGTATGCTGGATGAAAAAAATCACGACAGCATGTCACCACATGATTTGCCCATCGAATTACAAATGTACTTCCGGGTTAAACAAAACTATATGTGTCTTGGCAAAATGTGCTTGGTATGTCACCGGTTATTAAAGGACGATATTGGTGCCAGTCATTATCACACATGTGACAGAGCTGGTTAAACACATTCCAAATATAATTTTAACACAAAGATCTTTGCTACGATAGCTGAGTAATACAGGTTTCCTGAATCGGAAGTGACGAACTCCAAAGGCAAACACGAGCCATCCCTCTGTATAACTGACTGATGTGACGAGTGATAACAGATACACGACCGAATTTCTGCTCACTAATAATTCCTTCGAAGCAAAGACCAAAAGTTGTTATATGGGACTGTAAGAGGATACCTGACAATTCGATAAAGTAATTGAATGCCATTAGATAAGAGAACACGAGAAAAATAGAAATAGTCCGTACATTCCCTTGTTTATATTCATTCTATACCTTATAAAAACATGGTAATGCACGGACTTTTTCTGTTTTTCTTTCGTGTTCTCTTATCTAGTAGCAGTCAATTCTTTCTATGAATTGTCAGGTATCCTCTTACAGTCCCATATAACAACTTTTGGTCTTCGAAGGAATTATTATCACTCGTTACTTCAGTCAGTTATATAGATGAATGACTCGTGTTTTCCTTTGGCGTTCCTCACTTCCGATTCAGGAAACCTGTATTACTCAGTTGTCGTAGCAATGATCTCTGTGTTAAAATTATATTTGGAACGTGTTTAATTAGTTCTATCACATATGTGATAATGACTGACACCAATATTGCCCTTTAAGTTCGCTTAAGCTATGTGCGTTTTAACAGTAAATCATTTGGTTACACCACAGTGTACACGTACTGGGAAACTGAAGTATATTATAGCTAAGAAATGAGTTTACAGTGCTACAGTTCTTTCTCTCTTTTATATTTTTTTACTTCTTTTTGCTTATTTTTCTTATTTCTTTTCTATTTATTTTAGTCTTATTTCTTTTTGGTACTTCTTTTTGTTCCTAGGATTTTCTCTGCTTATAAGTCGTATGTTTGGTTTAGCTTTTCCTTATTTTTAACTTTGATTTCTAGCTTTGTTTTTTCTTGTGTGTTTAGTTTCACATTTATTTCGCTTCTTGCCAAAACATTTGCAGACACAAGCAGAAATAAAAAGCAATCACCAGAATTCTTGAAGAGGAAGGAAATCTTTCACACCCTTCATTAGTAATTGAATCTAATGAAAAGTCTGAACCAATCAACCTACCCTTCTCTGGGGAATAATAAGGCTCTTTCCCTAAAGATATAACATAATGCTCAATGGCGCAGTTAAAGGGCAATATTGGTGTCAGTCATAGTTACATATGTGATAGAACTGGTTAAATACATTCCAAATATAATTTTAAAACAGAGATCATTGCTAAGGGAGATGTGTAACAAGCACGTGAAGAAACGGTATGTGACGCCAAACATGACAAACACGATTTATCCTTCTATGTATCTGGCTGATGTAACGTGCGATAACAGACAAACGATCGAATTCCATTTCACTGATAATTCCGTTGAAGTTGAAAAGTTATTATATGGGACGGTGAGAGGGTATCTCACAATTCAAAAATAGAATTGGCTGTCACTAGATAAGGGAAAACGAGAAAAATAGAAAAATCCCGTGCATTCCCCCGTTTTTATTCATTCTGTTCTTAATAAAAACATGGTAATGCACGGACTTTTTCTAATTTGTTCGCTATCTTTTATCTAATGACAGCCAATTCTTTTTTTAAATTGTCAGATATCCTCTCACCGTCTCATATAATAGCTTTTCATCTTCAACTGAATTATCAGTGAAATGAAATTCGATCGCGTGTCTGTTATCGCTCGTTGCATCAATCAGTTATATAGTAGGATAACTCGTGTTTTTCATGTTTGTCGTCACTTCCCGTTTCTTCACGTGCTTGTTAAACATCTCCCGTAGCAATGATCTCTGTGTTAAAGTTATATTTGGGATGTATTTAACCAGTTCTATCACATATTTTATAATGACTGACACCAATATTGTCCTTTAACATTTTGTGGACATCACGCATAGAAAAATAAAATAAAATTAAATAGATGATAAAAGAAATTAAAATGGCATACGATAACAATCAAAATATGGTAGTAAAGATTATAATAAAATATGGCATGTAATAAAGAAATTAAAATAGCTAAAAGTAATAAAGAATAAAATAGAACAGCGCCTAAAACAATATACAATGAACTCGGATACCCGTATTAAAAGCCATAGTAGTCAACAAAAAAGGTGTGTTTTTAAATTGCGTTTAAAACTTTCAGTGCTATCAGATAGTTTCATATTGAGAGGTAAGGTATTCCACAGAAAAGAAGAAGCTTGGCAAAGTGGGCGTTTACCATAAGATATGGAAGGATAAAAGCAGGTTGCTATTTTGAGATCGGAGTGTACGGGGTGGAGTATATAGGGATTTAAGGTAATCTGGCGAATTATCTGAATGTAATGTAGACATATACCATATACATTGGGGACATATACCAAATTAGCAGGATAGTGGCGTAAGGGAGGGTCACGGTCAGACGGGGTCGGCATCTAAACACTAATCTGCTAAAAAGACACCAAACCTGCAGAGTAGGATAGTGGAGTAAGGGGAGGCCACGATAAGACGGGCCTGGCACCTAAACACTAAACCCACAAAGGTGACATCTACCAATCCAGAGACGAGACGCATATGAAGAGCCCCGGGGAAGAACAATCTAAGTCACCTTTTCAACGAACCCCGGTTAATGGCACCATCTGGTAGCAAATTGTATAAGCTTTCTGTGAAACAATCAATTTCGGTTAAAAACGACCGGAGTCACATCGAACCAAGGCCCTTCTGAAATGGCCTCCCGGACAAATAGTCCATCGTACCCTTTGTTTGACCTTAATTTGGCTGAAAAGTGGAAGGCAGTTGTTGTACTGGTAATTATGATTCGTATTAAACAATACGTTTTTTATTAAATAAAGGGAAGAACTTCCCGCTAAACCCACTCCATGGCCTAAGGCCGCAAATGGAAAGATTGCAAAATCATATTCTAAAAACAGGAAGAAACTTCGGCACTCCTATGTCTTTTCTGCGATATCACCTCTGTGGAAGCAGACGTTAAAGCACCAGGTAGTAGTAGTAGTAGTAGCATTCTGTTTGAATTCTTGGACGTTCGAACCATATTCGGCGGTTTTTCCAGGAGCGTTCGGCCTGCATTCGATGTGAATTCGTAAAGCATTTGGGACGCCTTTCAACCAGACTTTGGGCGGTATTTAGGCAGCAATCGAACCACACTCGTACGGCATTCGAGGTACATTCCAAATATTGGGATGCTTTCTAACAACATTCTAAATAGTCTTAGGATACCGAGTAGCAGAGTAGCTCACTGCAGAGGAACTTTGCCCCAAACTTTTCAGGGGATCACGTGGCTAAGTGGGTAAGACGCTAGTCTGGAGGTCGGGTGTTCGATCCCTGCATTGGCCGAGAAAGTTCATCCAGATTTTCCGGCGTGGTTCCCCCTTGTCAGTGATGCAGGACGGAGGGCCTGACAAGGACAGCTGTCTAGTCCTTCGGATGAGACGAAAAACCGAGGTCCCGTGTATACATTGGAATGCACGTAAAAGATCCCTTGGCAGTTGGAATTCGTAAAAACGTAGGCGATAGTGCCGCTGCCCGGGCAAAATTTCCCTCATAGCACTCTGTATGACGTATGCCCGTCTTCATTAGCCCAGTATAGGAGCAGAACAGTAGAACGTTAAACCCCATTTCATTTCATTTCCAAACTTTTCACATCTGCCGAAGCATTTGGAATTTGGAATCTGGAATTTGGAATCTGGAATTTGGAATTTGGAATCTGGAATCTGGAATCTGGAATTTGGAATCTAGTAATTTGGTACTAGAAGTAATCAGTTGTGTAAAATTACAATTTATATAAATTCTAATTTGTTTAATTGAGGGGGGCTGCCAATTTGCTATTTTATCGGTAAGACATGAATTTGGAATTTGGAATTTCGCATTTGGAATTTGGAATTTCGCATTTGGAATTTGGAATGAGCCTTCTGGGCTTTCGTATCCCTGTAATTGTGACGGGACCGTAACACGCACGATTACTAGCAAATGTGATTTATCAAGTGTACATTTTGTAGCTGTGCGAGCTTGCTCTTTTTGTTTGCACTAGCTTGACGTATTTTAGGACTTCTTATGCTGGGGGTGCGTAGCTCTAATACGTCGAAGCACAGCGCTCTCACAATATTTATTATTCAAGGAGCTTTAATCTATAAGAAACATAAGACAGTACTAATTATTTGACTTCGAACTGGGCTTATTAATGAATGAACATCATAACACAAATAAAGATATATTGAATTTATAATTAAAACATCAATTACAAATTATCTATTAATGAATAATTGAATATTATTTAGTCTTGGCTTTGCATATGTTTGGAATGTTACAAGCATAGGTAACATAAATCACATTATTGCACAATTCAAACAAAGGTTAATAGACATAAGTATACAAGAATGGTCAAGCAAACTCGCTGAAAGCGAAAGTCTTGTTAATTACCAAAATTTTAAACAAGATCTTGTTCAAGAAAGATACCTTAGTATAGACTTGCTTTTCCATCACAAGAGGAACATAACAAGATTGAGGTTAAACTTATTACCCTTGGCTGCTAATCAATTTTCAAGAAAACAATGCAGCCCATGTGTAAGTTATGCCATTTTGAAAATGAAAACACTGTGCACTTTCTGTTAAATTGTCCATATCTAAACAGTTTGAGAGATGAGTTTATTCCAAAGAATTTAAATTATCAACAGCTGTGTACAACAGAAGACAGATCCACCCTGTTAGCTGTTTCTAAGTACATTGAAGCTGCGTTAAAAATCTGTTAGCTGTTTCTAAGTACATTGAAGCTGCGTTAAAACTCAGAAGCGAAAAAAACCAAGTCATTGGCTCACAAAAATACTGATCTAAAGAGTACTTAAATCAAAACCATTGTTTATCAATCAAAGCTGAATATTAAAGATTGTTATAATATACACAGCAAACCTGTAACAATTAAGGTTGAATACTAAGATTGTGACTATTTGTAACAAAATCTGACATATAAAAAGCAAAGTTGAATGTTAAGATTGTTATAATAGCTGTAGTAAACCTGATATATAAAAAGCAAGGCTATATACATTAAGATTGTTATAATATCTGTAGCAAACTTGATATATGAAAAGCAAGATTGGAAAAAAAAAGATTGTTATAATATCTGTACTTGCATAGGGGTTGGAAACTAAGTACGCAAATACCTAGAAAATACCAAGCGTGTTGAAATGTCCATCAAGAAAATATATTCATTTATATATCCAAACGTGACTATGATATAAATATTTTATGTTTGTAGCTTTGGTCGTGGACCCACTTTACTGAAATAAACATATTAATATTAATTGAATATATAATTTAGCATATGTTATGTGACCAAGTGTAATTCTAAGCTATTTCACATTATCATAGTATGCATAAAAGAAACATACATTAATCAATAGGCGATTATAAAGTATTATCATACAATGTTAATAAGTGTAGTAAACTATTTCGCATCATAATGTTATACATAAAATAAGCATATACTAAATGAATTATTAGGCCACACAATCATAAACTAACTCACCTATAAGAAACATTGGTACTAATTATTTGACGTCGAACTGGGTTTATTAACGAATAAACACAATTGTCCGTATTTCGTCTCTTATGTTTGAACATAAACATGATAAGGGTTAAACATATAATACAAAATGTGTTATAAATTAACATATTTACATTACTGAGACCTAACTCAAATATAGGTACATACTAAATCAATGACTAAATGCATGTTAAGTAATATTAAATTATTTTAAGAATAGATGTTCACAAAAGGTAAATAGATAAGACAGTGCGTTCAGATTAAAACGATCAGGGTTCGGAATAAAGATTAATTACTTATCCACTTTAAAGCAATTAGTTAATTTAAATAAGTAATTACATGTATATCAAAATATGTACTATAACAGTTGTATCAAGTGTACATTTTGTAGCTGTATCAAGTGTACATTTTGTAGCTGTATCAAGGAGATGCATAAATATAAGTGGCATGGATTTGAATCCTTAGATTTTCGACAATGTATGTTCTTAACATGAATTTTATCTGAATAAAATATTGTTTAAATCAACGTGAGTAGATAAGGAACAGGCATAGCCTATATGGCCTCTGTCCTATATACAAGAATACACATCGATATATAAAAGAAATATATGAAAAAAACAACAAAACAATACAATGAATACTTAATCAACAACATTTGTATATTTACACATTGGCTACTCACTCAGTTTTACACCTTGTGTCGGTAATTCCACAATCACATTTAGCTGCCTTATAACAAATATAACAATATAAAACTAGTTCTCTTATTATTACTGTGTACAAATTTGAATAAGATATATAACAATTATAAAACTACAATGAATTTTACTTATTATTACTGTCAATAAATTTATATAAGATATAACAAATATAAAACTACTTCACTTATTATTACTGTATTTGAATAAGATATACTGTAAAACAATTATAAAACTACTTCGGTTTTCATTTCTGGGTATAAATATGAATAAGATGTATATCAAATATAAACCCACTTCAATTTTCATTACTGAGTATAAATATGAACAAAATATATAACGATTATAAAACCACTCCATTCACCGACCACTCCAGTTTTTATTACTGTTGAGAACGGGCCGCTTTGAGGAAATCTTGGGCATCAAGATTCTACTACAAAATGAATACCGGTAGGTTGGGGATAAGCCGTTTTTTCTCGGGAAAATGGGTCGGTTTGCCAGAGTCTCTTACACATTTAAGTTTAATCAAACCAAAAGTTCGTATTGTCAAGTATTAGGTGAAATTATTCCGTGCTCATGGGGAAACTTCTGCGCACCGTAGCTACATTGCCCAGAAAGTGGATATCTTACATTACAAATGATAATGATGGCGTACCCCCCCCCCCCCCCCACACACACACACGGGAAAATATGTTTATGCGCCCCTGATATTTGAAACAGATGTAAAGTATGAATTTAATACCGTCGCCTTATCAAGTGGATGATAATAAATTTTGCCATTAATGTTAATTGGGGTTTGATTATTACTGTTTACTTTTTCCATTTTCACAACTGATTTTACTAATTTCCACCACTGATTTGATGTGACTTTGTGATTATTTATTTTATTAGTGATTTTTGATTTAAAATCATCTTTCGCTTGACGTATGAGTGAAATTACCTCATTTCTAATTTTACGGAACTTTAACCAATGGTTTGGGTTATTTGACTTTTTGGCACGCTTATGGGCTCGGTTTCTTTGTCGAATTTTTAGGCGGATGCAGTTGTTCATAAAAGGTTTATCATTGGGTCTAATTGTGACTACTTTACTAGGAATGAATTTTGATGTGTTTTCGTCTAGGACATTTTTAAAATCATTATATAATTTGTTTATATCCTTACTCTTAAAAACCGTTGTTGACCATTCTATTTGTTTAAGAGAGTTACATAGACCTTCAAAATTAGCCTGGTTGTAATTTTTGATTTTCCGTCTATATGATAATTGTTTATAGGTGTTAAAGTTAATTTCTACAGTTATTAACGAATGAGTACTACATATAGGGTGCAATACTGTATATTTAGAAATAAGATTCCTTTTATTTGTAATAAACAGATCTATGCAAGTTCCGGGATGGGTTGTAAAGTTAGTTGGTTCATATATGAGATTTACTAGATCAAAGCGTTGTAATATTACGTCTAGTTTTTTGGCATTACTGGAATTAGATAAAACATTAATATTAAAATCCCCTGTTAATACGTTACTTGTGTTATGGCGATGAAAGGAGGATCACCAGGGTTAGTGAATACGTCGTATATAACATTCATAATTGTCGTTTATCCTTAGTGTAATAGGTGAGGTTGGGAGCAAGGGGGTGGGATGTTGAAGAACGATAGAATAAAAAGCGGATGGTCTTATTTGGCCCCGCGAAGCTTCGAACAGTATGCATTAAGTTCAGTCATTGGTTGAGCTTTGTCAGCGTGCAAAAATCTGACCAATCGCAAGATCCATGAACGCTCTATTACACGCATGGAGTGATTAAACAAATATCTAATATCTTTATTACACGACATTTTACTTATCATTTGACAAAACACTTATAATTGCGTTTATAAGTTGGTCGTTTGATATAATATCAGGCAAGAATGATACTATAACCAGTATCAACTATGATTCGTTTCAAGATGAAAATTAAGAACTGGGATTCCCATTTAGCTCCGCGAAGCTTTAACTTCGGTAAATGAAGTTCAAACAGCACCCGTTGTATTTTATTGAATCTGTCCAACTGAAATGTGAGTGGAGTTTTACATAATTGGGATAATTAAATAAATATCCAAAAAATTATCACATAGACTTTTTCTTACATTTAGGATAAACGCTTATTACTACATTAATTATTAGGTCTTATGAGACAATAATCGGACATTAAATGGAAATAATTAAGTAATAGTAACTATTCGAATATTATCAGGAATATGTAACAAGATGAGAAAATATTTAAACGTGAACAGGGAGATTTTAAATTACACAGTTCATTATTATTTCGGTGTTGATGTGAGGAGACCGAAATCTAACAGTGATTGTTGTTTCATATTATCAGTTAGTGTCTGGATTGATGGCAAGTTAGTTATTAGGGCTTCAACCTGGTTTCCTTCGTCACCTTTGTCGCTTACATGGACAGCCGTATCCCCTAGCGCACATGTACCCTGGCCCAAAACGTTTACCTCAAACTTCCTAAGATCATTCTTCTTGGCATTATCCACACACTCTTTACTGTACCGTGCATCGTATTGTGGTTTATTATTACAGTATCGTCTCCGAGTACACCAACCTTAAAAATAACAGTTTCATTTAAAAACGCATGTTCATTTTAATCTTTTATTATATTTAGATTATCTTACATGCGCTCTCTGCTTTGACTTACAAATCAAGTCAATACAGTAGAATCTATATGAGCAGCCACTCCTATTCAGCGACATCTCCTTGTAAGCGGTCACGATAAATTCCCCCCGTAGAAATTCTGTTGTTTCATCTCTTTATTCAACGGTCACTCCTCTAACGCGGCCAGCGGTCACTAATTTACTAATAAATTCAACAAAACATCGTCCATTCAACGGCCATTGTTGAATGATACCATCTTGTCGTTCTTTGTAACACTCCCGCTAATCCCGTGAGTAGTAGTTAATTAACTGGACTCCCACTGATCAGGTAAAAAGAAATGTAAAAATAACAATCAACCCGGGATTATCTGTTAATTAATCTTTTGTTTTATTAAACGACTAACCTGATCATTGTTTTCACGCGTAACGACACATTATTTGATACTGATTGAATAAAATAAAAGTACCGAGTTTTGTCACGATCATCTAGTATCTCTCTTAGCGCCTCCTATAATATTACATACAGAGTTACACCCCCTGTAAATAGGTGATAAAATTAGCGATGTTTTTTGTTCATGTGCTTTTTTGATAAAATAAAATGAATTCATCGATTTTCTTCACAAAAATGGATAAATATTATCGAATGCATCACAATGGTAGACAGTAGTATCGAAGGTTGGTACAAAATGACAAGTTTACAGAAGTTATGTCCGAGATTTGAGTAAAGAATTTTCGTTCGGCGCAAGATTCAGCGACGGCCAAATTTACCGCTTCCAATGCATCCAAGCGTAATATTTAATTTATGTCAGCACAAAAAGCAACGAGATTTTATTAAGAGGCCACTCCCGTTAAGTTATGTCCGAGATTTGAGTAAAGAATTTTCGTTCGGCGCAAGATTCAGCGACGGCCAAATTTACCGCTTCCAATGCATCCAAGCGTAATATTTAATTTATGTGAAAATTCCCTTGGGTGGCTGCTTAATGCAGATTCTACTGTACATTGTATAATTTACATATATCAATAATATGTAGTTTCACAATAATACATTCCACAGAGATTAGTGTTAATGAAGGCTTGGGAAAATGATGCATACTCTTGCTAAACGGTCTTTTACATGTACTGAGCGCGAATGCGACCGCTAAAGCGAATTTTAAGGAACAGTTCGCGTGGACGATTTTTTTTTAGGAAATCGGAGTGCGAGGTCAAAAGGCATACATAGTAAAATCGGCAATACGTCAATTTCATCTGCGAATTTTCAGGGGTCTCGCCGCTTTCAATACTAACGATCGCGCTCAGTATAAATATATAGGGGTATATTAGATTCAAAATTCTAAATTTTTGTTAATGTCGTGCTATCGTCTAATTTCTAACTTCTATTCGTGTAATTTCTAAATTAAGACAATGTATAATTTGATTTCTTTATTTGTTCAGCGTAAATTCTATTTCATCTTATTTCTATCAAGCGAAAATATGTTTGGCATGAAGAACGAACAAATTTAGAAATGTGACATTTCTGCCCGGCAACCATCATTGATGTCGTTTGGTGTCGCCACTGCAAGCTCAATTTGATGATTGAATACCTGATCGGTAACACTACGTTATTTGTTTGGTTGAATGGTCGGACGGAGTGCTAAAATTGGAAACAACATCCAACGTGATATAGTTTTCAAAATAATATGCAGGATTTGGAAATTTTTATTTGATTTTGTTTACATTATTAGTTCCGCCCCTATGATTTGCCGAGTTATTAACAAATTTAAAATGTTGAATCTAATATACCGCCATATCAATGGCGCTTCACTGTTAATAATTTTATAATCGCAAAATAATAAGGCTACACTCTAAATCAAAATACCATAACAGTAAATACATACATATGAAAATTGTTATAAGTATGATTACTAGTGCTATTACAGCTGTTGTAATTGCTGCAATCTTTACAGCCATGAAGAAACTCGTAACAGGGTCTGCAAAATAACAAAACAATCGGGCTTTAAAAACATCACAGCCGTATTTATTTGATAAGATCGATTGAGACAAAGAATTACCAGAACAGTACATTTAACAATTAAATTTTTTAAAATACTTGTAAACAAAATAGAACAGGTAGATTTTCTATAATATGTTGGTAGGTTCATTAACATCTACGAAAAACTGTAATGTGTACACAGTGTGATTATGCTGCTAACTACTGTAATATACAGTTTCAATACAATCCATGGCTCAGCAGGCAAGATAATACGAATTTACAAACCTGCTTCTACTAGAACAATTTCTGTTGTAACTTGAACAGTTTGAAAGATGTTGGATACATTAAGGGTATAAATTCCATCAACCTTTCTGTAATCTTCGCCTGATAAAACCCTGGTATCGATGTAAGTTTGGTTCACTGTAGTATCATGTAGAGCGAATGGTGGGATAAGATCATAAGCCTGGTTGTTGAAATACCATTGATATTGAAGTGATAAGTCTGATGAAGCTGTTACTGTTAAGTTAATCATATCTCCTTTAGTTATCTTCTGTACTGATGATGGTTGTTCAGTGATCGTGATATTCCCTATAAATATAAGACCACACCATAACTGTTAGTTAGCTTGTCTGCGATATCACTTCTGTGGAAGCGGACGTGAAAACACCAGGTAGTAGTAGTAGTAGTAGTTAGTTAGCTACTTAAGGGAATAGTTGGGTGACCGTTGTCTATTGTTATTTGTATAGGACAGCCTTTAATTGGTTAGATGCTCTCTAGACAATAAACAGCTAAAGCTGATTTTGGTACCAAGGTTCAGCGTAACATAATAATGACGTGGAATCAGTAGTAATGTTGAAGATGCCAATAATAACGTGGAAATGACAGTCTTGATTGTCAGTAGCCTACCAATATGGGATTACCCAGGAGAGGTGTGTCACAAGCAATCCGATTAAAATACAGATCTTTATTTCGTTTCGTTTTTTATACTTTCGATGGCCTACACTAAATGAAGATCTGACCAGTTGTTTTGGGGTGGGGGGGGGGGGTCGCGTCAGAGGTCATACGAGCGGTTTTTGACCCTATGACATTAGATATTTGATTAACCAATTAGCATTGATGTTTCTAGTGGATTAACCACAGTTCCGCGCAGCTTACACCTTAATGCACGCCGTAACAGACCGTTTCATTGGCTAACCTCTCACATCATCTAGACACGTCAATGATAAGTAAAACGAAATTTGAACTATAAAAAACCGAAACGAAACAGGATCAGTGTTTTAATTAGATTGTGTCACTAGTGACCCCGAAAAGCATGTGAGTATAGTCGCTTGGAATTGACAATGGGGGAGGGGGAGGGGGAGAGGCGGGGTATGTCAGCGGTGACATCCTGGCAAGATACATGTATACAATAAGACATGGAACCTGTGTCAATAGCAATATGGGCTTAACAATTTACGGGAGTAAAGTGACGTATCCCTGACGATTGTTCGGTTGTCATTGGCAAAATGTCAGGTACGGATGGGCAATGTGAAATACTTACAATTTACAGTTGGTACTTTATCTAAGGTAATTTTCTGTCCATCACCTGGTATAATTTCACATCTGTAGGAGAATTTAAGATCGTCATGTGTAACATTAAGTATAGTTAGAGTTATATTTTCTTCTATAAAGCCGTCTATCTCAGCCCTAGTTTTTTTGAACATCAACCGTCCCATATAATGCTTCTCAATTTCAAATTTACCTTGGTACCAAAATCCTAGTTCCTAAAATGATAAGTACAAAATACTGATAGAGCAGAGTTAACTAAGCGCTGAAATAATAATACATGTATAATCTTGATAATCGGGATTATATCTACGCGCATCAAAAATTAGTTAATTAAATTAACCAGGTACCTACGCATATCAAAAAATTGCTCTCCAGGGAATGGGCTTTTATCGCAGTGAACATGATAAAGCTACAAATATATCGACATGATATATTATAAGGGGCATGGTCAGTTTACAACGTCAACATCTGTAGGTTGTGGCGTTTGCAAAGAGGTATATTTCTTGAAGACAAATTGTTATCACCGGAAGTGAATGGCTTGAAACAGTTTGATGTATTCACCGTTAGGTTGGACCCTTTCTGTACCAGTATAACAGCGACTACAGGATAACGATATCTGTAATTCCATACCAAGTGTAACTCATCCTTTATTATGTGGTAGGCAAACGTCAGTGCTGGTCCTGCAAAAATAAAGAAGCAACAGAATTTCAATCATCTTACGTAATCTTTTTCAATATAAAAAGAAACACCTAATACCACCTCTCCACGGGCACACCAGTTACCTTAGTGTGCTTCCCTATTACATTATCTTGTCAATTTTTATTGACAGAATTGAGTTTGAATAGACTTTAGAATCTATAGTGATGTAGTTTATTTTGATATTGGAAAAATATACCCAAAATATTCACTTAATTATCGCCCCTGGATCGAAAGCACAGTTACATCAACTTTTACAGAAAACGACAGACAGAATAACAGGAATTAACATACACTAAATTTACACGTATATATTTATTTCAGTAATTCGCATGCTTCTGTTGATCTTACATCTTGTTATGTTCAGAACCGGTATAGAATCGATCACGTGCTTAGGTAACGTGTCTCGTGTGTCTCGTGTGACTTACAGCACACGCGTAATGCGCCACCTAATGCGCCCTTGCTATTATAACAGCTGAAATTAACATGTAGTCCACTTACTTTCAGCAATAAGTTGAATCTCTGAAACTTCACTGAATGACTCCCCATAGTAGACTTGACACCGGTATATTTTGTCAAAATCTTTATAAATAGGCTCGGATAATTTTAGCGTAATTCTCTCTCCTCTTAGAATGAGTTCTACCTCGGTTGATAGAAATGGATCAACCACAAAACCATTTACCACTGTCCATTCTCCAATATTTTCCACCTAAAATATAAATTGTTTGTATAATATGGTCAACCTAAAATATAAATTGTTCTATAGGGTGTGATAACATTGAACCATACTACTCTGTCCAACAACCTGATTTTTACCTCGTTTTTTTTTATTATTGATGTAGCCTACTCCATTGTGCCATGACGGTTTTCATTTAAAACACAATACCAAATCGAATACCCCGTATTGGTATATTGCACTGTGCTTGTAGTGATTGTTGGATTTTAAACTCAAGTTATTGTGATGGGTCTAGGGTTAGAGTGATATTGACTCATAAAAGAATTGTCCCTGGTAGAACATATTTGTTATCGAAAGTTTGTTAAATTACAATGTAGTGTTAATCGGAATATATAAAAGAAACGAAATTGTAATCTAACAGCGAGTTGGTGGAAGAGGTAAAATCATCAACAGTGAGTCTGTTGAAACCTCTGTGAATGAGATGTGAGCTGTAAGCCTGTAAAACCGGTAATAATATACTTGTCAAATGTTTTGGAAAAATATGTTTCTGTTAACAATAGACTTATAAATATACCTGGTTGGTATTGTTGTCAAACCGAATAATATCAATCTTATGTAGAGGCCGGCTGTTTTGATACTCCCAGACCAACTTAACATCTTGTCTGAGAGTTGATTTTACTGGATTCCTTGTTTTCAGCCACCTAAAATCTGATTGTAAATAAATGATATAATAGTATTAACATAAAAACATAGTATGTCACACCTTTTACATACATGTACATCCACGACACAATATTTGTGTTTTAATTGCTTATTGGTTGGTGAGTATAGTGTGCTATCCAATGATAACCTACAAATAATGCCGGTAAAATCACACAGCACCAATACCACGATTCGTTCTATATGTCAAAGTAGACCCCTGGCATAAACCAGGTTTCAAAAACCCATTTGAACTATTTAGAAGTGATGATCTTGGCCTGTGTGGAAATTTACGTTTTTTTCTCTCTCAAGAAATTGGAATTTCCGCATATTTACTTACCTGTAACAGCGAGTTGTATATCTCTGTATTTTTTCAATAGATCTAGATAACATCTATATATACCAGAGTCTTCAAGGGTTACATTGCTGATGGTCAAGATTATCTCTTGTATTGTTTTATGTTCAGTTTTCTGCAGATGATATCTTTTATCATCTATCAACATCACCAGATTATCCATAACATAGCTTGCTATAGCTACCTGTAGCATGAATAAAACAACAAGTATAGCTTAGGTCTATGTTGTATAAGAGAGAGAGAGAGAGACAGACAGACAGACAGACAGACAGAGATGGGTTTAAGGTTCACTGGACACAAACTAGGTGAATTCGGGACTAACATATGGTTCAACCTTATTTCAATAATTCGCTTGCGCGTAGGGGTCTTTGGCAGTGGGGGGAAACCGGAGGACCGGAGAAAACCGGGGAATCGAAACCACGCCAAGTACTTTTATTAATAATATTTTGGTAAAAACATTATTTAATCTTTCCATTATAAGTTATGTTATGGCCATTTAAAAGTTAACATTAAATTACATTAATTTAACATCACTATCTTAAACAAATATAGTAAACTGATTCTGCTGTCTTTTAACTGCAAGCCAGCCCATTCTTCGCGAAGGAATTTTTAAAAAGTTGGATGTGCTTAATTGGATAATAACCAATTGTTCATAATAAAATAACCTACTTTTGGTTGTTGAGATGTATGTTACATACTGGTAAGCTGTGCCTCCAACACAGCAAATTATGATAGCTTTAGTCAGTAAAAAATATCTTAAAATATACTTGAGTCAACGCATTATGTTCTTGAAATTATATGTTAATTAGGTAAGAATGTCTTACATTATTTTTGGAGATAGTGATAGAATCATCATCCGGAAGATGTTGATGAATCCATTTAATAATAACATCATGGCCTGTCCGTGAAGTCAACGGTGTGTTGGTTCCTGGAAGCCATTGGGGATTTCCAACTGGTGACACTGTAAATAAATGATTTAGATGAGTATGATAAATAATATCAATCATTACAGAATGACCAGGCTTTCCATTAGTGAGTGTTTTAGTATTTTCTTTCTGACATAAATGAAATATTATTAATTACATTTATACACTGGTTGTGAAGGATTTGGTCGATAACTTTGAATATACGTCAACTGGTTCAGTTCCGCTAGAAGTGTTACAATTTAATAAATTCATGCTTAAAAATACAGCATGATTGAGTTCATCGTCCACTCAACGCAAATAGGATAATTCCGGGACCAGCATTTTCATTCATTTCTGTATCATTAGGGTGAAATCGAAGAGGAAGCACTCCACCCCTTGTACAAGTGTGAGATTGAAACCACGAAGCTTGCAGCTCTAGCAGACCTTTTGACACCCGACCCCTCTCTTCCTCACGAGTTGCAGCATGCCCATAAGCTTGTTTGTTGTATAATACAGTAACATATTTACTTACCAGCGTCTATTACTGTAGACAGTATGGCGATCAGTTCTGTGAAAACAACAGAGATAGTCACGCACAGCGTGCGATACGCCCACTCAGCAGCTTTGTCTCAACTGCAGCTTACATCCGAAAATGTGGATGTTGGGCAAATTTGATAAGGATCTAGGATTCTTGAATAATCTAATCTCTAGGGATAATCTGCTTATGACCCCATTGCAACCACATTTGAAAAAGAAATAGTCTCTATCGCGTTCACGTGGTTTTCGGCAAACGGGATAAACTGAGGAACGGAAGGCTGTGGATTATGAATATCGATAGGGATATTCAAACCAAATATGACAAAAAGATATATCAAAGACTACAACCTTTATCACCTTCACAAGGTTTTTCGAGAAAGGGAACATAACTTCGGAACGGAAAGTCGCAGAACGCTGAAGATTGATAATGTTAATCATTTCATGAAACCAATGCTTCACACCAAAAATTTACTAATATATGTTTAAAACTATACAGTGGCCTCTGTGGTGTTCACGGTCAATATCCTCGCATGACCCCAATGCTTCCCACCAAATCTTTAAAAAATCTAATAAAAACTCTAGCTTATATTGCGTTCACAAGGTTTTCGACAAAAGGGGGAAGCTGATAATCGATAGGTTTCATCCTCTCATGATCTAAGTACTTATAACCAAATTTGAAAATATTTCGTTAAAAATGTTGACAAGGTCTTTCTGTAAAGACAGTCGTAGAACGCTGAATGTCGATACGGGTTGTCCTCTCGTGGCCACAATGCTTCACACCAAAAAGTACTTCAATACCTCTAGCCTCTATCGCGTTCACAGGCAACTTGTTGACGGACCGGCGGACAGGGTGACGACATAATACGTTCACACTGAAATGTGGGCGTATAAAAATTCAAGTTACGCCAATGAATTACTGCGCGTAATTTATAGGTGGTACAAGTTAATCCCAAAAGCGCTGTAACCCCAAACAGAAAACAATGCAGTTATATGGGTACACTCATACATATGTCAATCAATATCAAACTCAAATTCGGCCATGGTTAACTGACGTAATTAGCACAATATGAAGGTCTCGAGAAAGTTTCTTAGAGCCGTATCTCGTAACCAGCGCGTTTCAGTGGTGTGACAATAAAGAGCTTTTTAAAATTCTTACAATACAAAGTGGACAGTATCAAGTTTGGCCAAAGCAATTCAAACAAGCGGTTCCCATGTAAGATACGCCCTCGTTTTGCAAGAGATGGACAAAGAACACGATAAAAAAAGCAATTTTTCGTACAATCAGGGGCCATAATCCAGGAAGCTATAGTCCAATATCTTTGGGATATACACATATATTTTAGGTTTCATCAAAATCGGATAAATGTAGTTACCTCTTGAGGATCCACACAAACCTTGTTATTACATACATGTACTTTTACACTGTTGGCATACGTGGAGCGGCTATTATGTCTGGCAATTTCGCTCCGATTTTCACGAAAATCGAATTCAACCGTCACTATGTTTTAACACCAGATATTTTTAAACCCCTTTTTAAATCGTCTACAATCAGGGGCCATAATCCAGGACGGTATGGTCCGATATGTGCCGATATCGAAAGGAACCGAGATCTTTGGGATATAAACATATGTTTTAAGTTTCATTAAAATCAGATTAAAATTGTTACCTCTAGAGAGTCAACATCTTGGTATTACATACTTTTATACTATTTGCGTACGTGGAGTGGCCATTTTGTCTGGCAGTTTCGGCCCAATTATCAAGAAATTCGAACTCATCATTACGATGCAACACTTGTATATTTAAATCACAAGCTAAACATACGATTTTTCGTGCACCCAGGGGTCATAATCTAGGAAGTTACGTTCATATATGCGCAAGATCTTTGGGTTATAAACATACATTAATGTGTCCACAAGCTAAAACGTGATTTTTCGTACAACCAAGGGCTATAATCTATGCATTTACAGTCTGATACATGCCGATATCGAAAGGAATCGGGATCTTTGGGAGACAAACCTATATTTAAAGTTTCGTCAAAATCGAATAAATATTGTGGCCTGTAGAGTGTCCATAAACAAATTGTCGACGGATGGACGGACGGACGAACGGACGAACGTCCAGGCGGATAGGGGCGATGACAACATACGTCCAAATGAAAATGTGGGGGTATAAAAACTGTATTTTTAAACATGGTACGGGCCATTTTTCAAAATGGCTGCCAAATTTGGTAATAAATATTGCCCCCATAACTAACATCTCAGAAATTGAAATGGCAGCCAAAATGGTATGTAAATGGTGGACTTTCAATGGCGGGTTTTTGAACCCAAAATAGAATTCAGTAAAAGTGAAACCCTTATTAGCTTTAAAAGCAAAGCCATTATGGAATCTATTTAAATTGCCGTCTTCAATTCACACCAGCTGGGCTATTCAAAGTCAGATTTTGGGTTCGGAATTCAACTCAGTAACCACCAAAACCATATATAAGACACATTACAAGACATATGAACGGAAGAAAATGACGATTAATTAAAATTCCGCCATTTTGGATTCAACTTCGGGTGCCATTTTGTATTGCTGCCATTCGGGATTTTCGAAATATTTCTTTTAATTCAGAGACATCGAAAAGCCATATAAAAGATATAATAAATGTCATATCTTTCGAGATTATCGCTGGCATTATTGGAAAAATGCAATTTTAGTACCAAATTTCTCAGTCATTTTGAAAGAAATGCTCGTCACCATGTGAAAAATACATTTTTTGAACTTTTGTCAATTTGTTTTTCGGCACATTTCGCCTCTATACCCAGTTTGTGTTTGAAGAATTTAGAAAAAAAATATTGATTCCCCCACTGATAAAACACACTGATTATAAGAAATTGTAATTTGTTTAAGGTAAGACGTTGTCCCTCCCCGCCTATGTGCAGATAATAATATTAATATGTCCAGTATATACACCACACAAATTGAACAGGTACAAATACATGTAGACAGACAGGGGCCCAATGAAGGTGCTCAGTGAAGAGGACGGAATTGTTTTAGTTTGTACTCCCCCTTAGGGTTTCTACTCCTCATTTCTAAAGGAAAAAATGTTGTTCTCAACCAGTGTCAAACATAATTTATATCGTGTCTCAGATATGTTACAAATCGCCTATAGCATGGTCCACACAGCCCAACATTTATCAGTACCGGGATTAAGGTTATATGTTTTTTTCTAACATTTATTGGGAATACGTCAGCGAAAATACAACAAGCCAACAGTGAGGCTGATGTCCCCCGCCGAAATTGCAAAATAAATAGATGACACATATTAATTAATCGCACATTTATTTTTTTCACTAAGTTTCATCACTCTCTATCAGATAGAATCAAGATTATCTTGTCCCAAACCATCGACAAATGAAATCGATTAGCTCTGCTTAGCTTCAGCTCGAAATGTTAATTATTGAACTCAGTCAAGACATTCACCTAATGAACATCTACATATACATCAAGTTTAAACATTCACCTAATAGACACCTATGCCAAGTTTGAACATTCTACCTCAATTAGAAGGAGAGTTATTGTGTTCCAAAGTTTCTACCAATCAAATTGCTTATCACTCTGCTTACCCTCAGCAAAAAATGTTCATTATCGAACTTAGTTAAGGTATTCATATAATAAATCTATACACCAAGTTTCATCAATCTCACTTAATTAGAACTAAAGTTATCGTGTTCCAAAGCATCAATCAATCAAATTGCTTATCTCTGCTTACCCTAAGCGGAAAATGCTCATCTTCGAACTCCATCAAGGCATTGACCTAATCAACACATACACCAAGTTTGAACATTCTAGCTCAATTAGGAAGAGAGTTATCGTGCCCCAAAGTATCAACCAATCAAATTGCTTATCTCTGCTTACCCTAAGCGGAAAATGCTCATCTTCGAACTCCATCAAGGCATTGACCTAATAAACACATACACCAAGTTTGAACATTCTAGCTCAATTAAAAGTTATCGTGTCCCAAAGCATCAACCAATCAAATTGCTTATCTCTGCTTACCCTAAGCGGAAAATGCTCATCTTCGAACTCCATCAAGGCATTGACCTAATCAACACATACACCAAGTTTGAACATTCTAGCCCAATTAGGAAGAGAGTTATCGTGTCCCAAAGCATCAACCAATCAAATTGCTTATCTCTGCTTACCCTATGCGGAAAATGCTCATCTTCGAACTCCATCAAGGCATTGACCTAATAAACACGTACACCAAGTTTGAACATTCTAGCTCAATTAGGAAGAGAGTTATTGTGTCCCAAAAAGTGTGACGGACAGACAGACGGACGGACGGACAGACAGACGGACAGACAGACGGACGAACCCATTTTAATAGTCCCCTGCTTTCTTCGAAAGGCGAGGGACAATAAAAACCTGTTTACAAAAGCATTCTAACGAGTGAAAACTGACATTTATCTGAACAAATCTGAAAAGCCTAATATAACAAGCTCACATAGAAGTGGCGCACAACCAGGGACATGTTCAGTAATTTGAGCAACGGGGTTACAATAGTAGTAAGTAGTAATTTGTTTATTATAGTGTCACACACTGCATACAAGAATATATGTACATTACATAAAATATACATAAAATAATAACAGTGTCTAGCCCATATCGACTTACGAGACACTTTTCTCTAAGATCAAATCATTAAAAATACTAAATAATTAAATAAAATAAATAAAATACATTCAGGTTAATCTTCTCCTTCGTTTTAACATGTTTAAAAGACAATTAGCAAGAGTAATGTTATACTTAAAAACATTTTTTTGAAGATATATTCTTAACATCCTGATTTACTAATAGTTTCTTCTGGATATCTGAGTAGACATCACATTCAATTAAAAAATGGATTTCGTTTTCGATACACGACGAGCACAAAGGATTTATGCGATTATTTAGGGGAATAGGGTGTTTAGAATATCGACCTGTTTCTATTGATAGAGGAAATGAAATGAAATAAAATGGGGTTTAACGTCCTACTGTTTTGCTCCGAACCGGGCTAATGAAGACGGGCATACGCCATACCTATTGATAGAGGAAGAATACCACATTTAAGTTTACTTATAACACCTCTCTGAGTCATGACACTTGAAATAACATAATCCTCAACTTTTAGATCTCTTTTTTTAAATAACCTATACGTTCTCAATTTATTTTCATTTGTACAGTTTCTATCATCTCACAATTTTGAAAACCACCTAGATTCATCAGTAACAAAGAGAGAGAGAGAGAGAGAGAGAGAGAGAGAGAGAGAGAGAGAGACTCCCACTCGACACAAAGGTCATCACGGGACTAACATATGGTTCAATTTTATTTCATTACTTTAGCAGTGGGAGGTAACCGGAGAATCAGGAGAAAACCCACGAGGTTGGACAGACGACAGTACGCCACCTGACTCACTTACAGACGCGCACGCAATAACCGTTCGGCCACCCAATCCGGCTACAGTATATGCAACATAGATAATTAATATCTACATTCAACTGAATATAAACTATATCATTTATTGTAACTAAAACACCAATGGTTGGTTAACAGTGTGTAATTAAAAACTTTAATTGGATTTTTGTAGCAATAATTATATTAATTTATTTAAGGCGACATGCTCTAAATGAGCTCTAAAATCAATGGCGTAAGAATATCGATCGATGACCTCTGCCGAAATACCTCCCAGGTTACAGAGATTCAAAAAAAAAAATATATAAACTAAGATATCATTACATTTTGTAATTACAATTAAGCGACATCAACAAGTATAAACAGGTTTTAACTTGTATTTATCTTTGCGTGGGTATAAACATGGGTAAGCGACATACACACAAGTCAAAGAAACGCGAGAGCTTGTTCCTTTTATTCTGATTTTTTAAGCAGATGGAGGCATTTGTCATCTAAGCTTCAACTACAGGGATACTTACGCACTAAACTTATAAAAACCTTTAAAAAGTTTTATGGCCGTCATATTGACTTGATTGGTAAATATAACATGTCTCTCTCGGCTATTATTCTAGATATATTTAATTGACGCGTATACTATCTCCCTGATTATGTCTACTACATCGTTAACACTGTTCATTTTGCATACCGATAGTCCATTGGCCAATCACGCTATTTTACCGAAATTTCGTCTAATATATAGTTTGGATGCAGCTATGGCGCCAGGCAGGATAAGCTTACTCTTCCGGACGCATGTTACCACTGTTTGTCGTGTATTTTGTACACGGAGAACAGTCCATTTGCTGATTACACTATTCTCCTATACCGTTTTTTAGGACTTCGAATTCTGTCTAATGGTTTGGATTGTTCGTACTTGGTTTTATTTTATTTTAACTGATCCTCATATCGGTAGATACAAATATCAACCCTTTGGACACCATTGGGGCGGTAAATGATATGACTTCTGCAAAATATCAAAGACGTTTCATATTCGTCTGTAAAGAATTAATCGTTGTATTAAAAGAGATAGATATTAAAATATGTATGTATACAAGTACTTACGTAGGTACGTAACTGATGTTACTAATAACATAATTTATATTTGTTTGTAATCACCAATCCAGTACTTTATTGTTGACTAGGTAAAATACTTAATCTCTGATAGAACTGAAACTCTGCCAATATCTAATATATATTATCCTTTCTAACTAAGAAAACAAATTCTTTAAGAATATTATGCAACATAAACAGATTCAAAATATTTAGCGAATGCTGAATATTATGTGTTCAGTCTTTGATTTGCAATTGCATATCCTGAAAAACAAACAAAAATTGTCATTTTAGGTGTCTAGGTTAATATAACATTCGTTATCGCATATTAAGGGCTACTATAAAACTTCAAAATAGCCCCAGGCTTGCCCAGTTAATTGTATATACAATCATGTTTAAAACAGTACTAGCATCAAACAATAACTAAAAATCTTGCTTAGAGCATTGTATTGCCCACTTTACTTCATGGAAACCACAATACAAAAATACATTATAATGTATACAATAATAGAAATAAATTCCATGAGTTACTTACAACTAAATTTAAATCTCTTTTAATTTCAAATTCACATATTATTAATGTCATTTTAAGTTATAGATCACATGCAGAATTGGTCGATTTGTCTTTTTAGTCTTTTAACAATTAACATTGACCCCGGCCTTTGAACACAGTTACCGCGACTTATAACACATTTGATATTACTCTGAAAGTGGCAAGGGCGCACACAAGCGCCGCTTTATAGACTTACTGATGCTGAGATTGGCCAATCGACAGACGCCTGAGTGTGTAAAAGCTATATTTGGAGAAACCCAGGACAATTTTTGTTCACATTATGTGAGGTCAGGCGTATTCACTAGATAACACAATAATCGAGTATGAAAGCCCGTTTCTTTTTCATTTTTTTCAGTTTTAAACTATGGAAGATCATTTAGGTCAATCAAGTGAAGAAATAAATTTTTATTATTTCGTATTTATCTCGTAATGACTACATAATTAGTAGTAGTATTAAGGGCAGTCTGAAGGGTCTGGGGCACTTTGAGGTCAGAACACTCCCCTGATAACATTCACTGATGGGTACCATATGGGTACCATGTGTCATGTAATATGGGGCCATTATCTGGAGCCCATATGGGACCCCAACATTTTTGCACCCAACATTCATATGGGAACCATATGGGCAACCATATGGGTACTAAATGGGGTTTGTGTGGGATCTATGTGGGTAATTCATTAAAATATGGGTGTTATATGGGGCTTACATGGGACCTATATAGCAATGTTAAGAAATGTAATATGGGTACTATATGGGACTCATGTGGGGTGCAAATAAATGTAATATGGGGCTTGCATGGGACCCATATGGCCATGTTAAGAAATGCCATATGGTTACTATATGGGACTCATGGGCATAATGTAATGTAATATGGGCATAATATGGGACTCATATGGGATCTTGTACCAAATAAGTACAAAACTATTTTTATTTGGTTACATGTTTTTTTATTATGCTTTCTCAATTAGGACGGTTGAAATTCGTTGCGATCTCCCACCATCCCGTCCCTTGAATTTGTCAGGAAACCAGTTCAAACGACTAACTGCAGCTTTGATTTCCTTGTTTGTGGTGTTTCAAAACATTGGATTTCTTCTGACTGGATCTGTAATTCAAAAGGAAAGCACATTAGGTCTGTTGATGTGCAACCTGACAAAGCAACACAACTCTTTCCATATGATCTCCCCTGAGACCACAAAACACATACAATTCAAATCTAAATTGCACCTGAAATATGCAGAGGGTTCAAAAAGACTTTTGATATACGATTGTAAAAACATTAAAATAAACCCCATCGTACCAGAACTATTATTGATTTGCATTTATTTCCAACAATGACGTATCATCAATAGTACTTACTAAAAACAATAGTAGCTGTAGCATGTGCCCCTAATTCACGCTTGCCTTTTTATCCTGTCCAATTGTAACGGCGTTGTACATAAGTGACACCGAGATTCTTCATGATGTTGTTAACGATAGACAGGACATCTCTGCCACCTAATCGTCCAAGTCGGTTTATCTAAAACAGAAAGAAAAAACGAAAAAATAAGTAAGTGCACTATATATTACCTGCAAAATATCACATATCGAACGAAACTATTCTTCCATAAATTCACATTTATTTAAATGCGAGTTAAAAACATGCACACCCAAGCAGCTTCATCATCTTGATCATTAATATAAATGGTTACAGTTTTTTTGTGAAAAAAGGGCACCAGACAAAAGCATTTATCTGTCAGTGTTGTTCTAACATACCTATATCAACAAATTTGACTCGTAACTTTTTTGTTTTGGAGCGGGGGGGGGGGGCATAATATAGAGTCCATACTAATATATATGACTGTCGTTTGTTTGTCATTCTGTTCAAGGTTGGTAGTTAAACCAAGGCTGTCATCGAGGCTGAATATTTTGTGTATAGGGGTGGCACCAAACTAGGTCAAAGCAAAAATTTTCAAAATACAGAAACTTTAAAAACTTTCATTTCAGTTTATTTTGTCGAAAAGTTTAATGATACTCCAAAAAGTATCAAGCATATTGTAGTACAGGAAGGATGGGACAAATTTACCTTTGATTAAATTTTGTGAACTGATTGCAGAGATGTGTACCACTTTGGTCTGTTTCTTGTTAGTACTAACTTCTAGCTGCTATACACATATACTTCTGCAGTTCAGAATCTAAAATTAAACCAATGACCAGACTAAATTGGTTGTTATAGGATGACGCGCTGACAGGTATTCACGGTTTGCATGAATATAACCAGTTACGATTTCAACAATCTAACGCATTTTTTTGTTTTTAATTTATTGATAATGGCCGACATCGTGATCAGCCTGTATACATCGAGTGTCGATCGAACATGCCTTGTACCAATTTTCAGCAAGATTGGATATTTTGTTCAGGTATTATATCAGTATGTGCTTCCGATCCATTGTTAATTCAAGAATTTTGTGCCATTGACCCCTGTACGTGATCCCTGTGTTACAAAGTTATGTTCATGTTCAATATTATAAATTAAAACAAAACAAAGAAAAAAGACTTCATTTCTCAATTTTATTAAATTCTAATCTCTTACTTCTCAGTTCCTACAGGTTACATACAAAGACGGTCACATCATTAATACATCTAGGTTGCTACAAATAATTTCCAGACAACCTTTGCGGTAACCTGTTAGGTTACCTGCCCTGAAATTGTTTGACTTAAAGATACATTATGGAAGATTAAATAAAGAGCTGACAATATATAATAGATAAAAAACGGATTATAATGTAAATGGGAAATGTCGAAAATTTCAGTGAAATTGCTTCAATCTGATTCATATACACAGTAGCGTCGATTGTCATTTTTACCGCTGTTACGATAATAAAAAGAAGACTTGATTATCCATTTTTGCGGTTAATCAAGGGCGTTGGACAGAAAATCGGATTCAAATTTAATGAAATTCGGACCCATAAGATGCCATCGAGGGCGTTGATTATGGTCTTTTTAATAAATGTCTAATTAATAGTTTATATAACATTTCAGACCTAAAGAAAGACCTGCAATAGTCATATTTAGCTCTTGCATAATGTTTATGTTTAATTAAGCGAAAACATTAAATTTTAATGAAGGAGAAATAGGAAATTGAAAATATTTTTAAGTAAAGTAGATCAATAAAAAAATTGCAAAAAGACCTTACCTGTAAAAATTCTTATGCTCTTTAACAAATCTGTGTAGTTGTGACATGGTTTAATGTAAATCGCACCTGTATGTGCGACTGTTTACTTGTCATGTAAATACAACTGTTGAGGGCGCAATAAGTTTAACATATCCCAAATAAACACTTTAATGACATTCTGATTTTAATTTTCTGAATACTTATTAATATCTACTAAATGCAATGGGTGTGATTCCACATTGAAGCCGATACAAGTGCGACTAATCCCATATGGGTAAAATATTGGACCCAGATGTATTATTTTATATGTGGTAGATGCCATATAGATAAGATATGGGCCCCAGATACACATGTGGGTAATCCCATATTGATACCATATTGAACCCATATACATAATATACATGAATGTGGTTATATCATATCCATACCACACAAGCTTCTGGTGCACATATGCGTAATCCTTTCTGTGCAGATTGGTTCACAAAACTAAAACTATGGATTCAATAATGAACTTATACATACAAATAAGTAATCCCATATGGATACCATATTGGCTCCAGATATACAAAAGTTATATGTAATCCCATACAGATACCATATTATCCCCAGATACACACATGGGTTATCCCATATGGACACCATATTGGCCCCATGTATACAAAACAGAGTTGTTAATGTGGGTAATCCCATATAGACCCCATATTGGCCCCAGATACACACACTATAAGGTCAGATTATCAATGTAAGAAAGAAGTAAGCATTATACCATTTGGCTTATCTCTGTGATATTAATTTACACACAACTAAAAGTATGGATTCAATAATGAACTTATACATGGAATAATAAGTAATCCCATATGGATACCATGTTGGCCCCAGATATACAAAAGTTATATGTAATCCCATACAGATACCATATTATCCCCAGATACACACACGGGTAATCCCATATGGACACCATATTGGTCCCATGTGTACAAAAACAGAGTTGTTAATGTGGGAAATCCCATATAGATCCCATATTGGTCCCAGATACACACACTATACGGTCAGATTATCAATGTAAAAAAAGAAGTAACCATTATATCATTTGCCTTATCTCTGTGATATTAATATATACACATCTAAAAGTATGGATTCAATAATGAACTCATACATAGACTAATAAGTAATCCCATATAGATACCATGTTGGCCCCAGATAGGCAAAAGTTATATGTAATCCCATACAGATACCATATTATCCCCAGATACACACACGGGTAATCCCATATGGACATCATATTGGCCCCAAGTGTACAAAAACAGAGTTGTTAATGTGGGAAATCCCATATAGATCCCATATTGGCCCCAGATACACACACTATACGGTCAGATTATCAATGTAAAAAAGAAGTAACCATTATATCATTTGGCTTGTCTCTGTGATATTAATATATATATGAAAATAAAGTGTATTTGCGTACATTTGTATGTGCATGGTATACAATTTTAAATATAAACAACGTATTGGATAACATTTGACCTTGAATATTTGCCATATATAAACCTTTATTCATCCGATCAAGTGACGACACTATATAGGAGATTATACTATACAAATAAATCTTAGTCATTTTCTATTTTAATACACAAAACTTTATTTAAAATCATTGATGAGTAACGGGCTCGATGAGAGATAAAAATAATTTCGGGTGAGAGACGGCGGCGCCGATCTTATGCGAGAGCGGAGGAGTGGAGCTTACCGTGTAGGAACCATCAAGACAATTTTGAACAAGAGCATCACTAACGCTGCAATATACGTCCACATTCCAGCTTTGATTGATATGGTACTTTTTAAAATGAAGAGAATGAAATATGAAATGGCTGTAATATGATCAGAGGCAAAGAAGGCTAGGCGTCGGGTTTGTTTTGCCAAATTTACAGACAAAATACTAACAATAAAGTGGGTGTGACACGGCCCCAGGAGGTCGGGGCAAGTATCAAAA